AGTTCCCAATGGCAAATAATGAGTCTAAATACAATATTTTACATTTTCTTCCACTGGAAATAGCCCTCGTTTGCTTTCAAGACATGCCATCAACCAAAGCCCCATTTAGACTACTGGGCCATTACTGATGCTGTGCATTAAGCATCTTTTCAACATCTTTATAGTAAAAAACGTAGGTTTTAGGAGTGAAGATGAAAGGATGTGGGGAAATCTGATGCAATCTTTCACTTTATTCCACAAGCAGGTGTGAAAAAGGTGCAAATTCAACAAGGAAATTCCCAAGAATGACACTGCAGCTGGGTTGTGAGTGAGATGAATTCACCTCTGTAGCATGAATGTTGTATTACATCAGACAGGATCTGAAATAGACATCTGAAAATTACTGTACCTGTGGTAACTCTCTCTGTTGTCTGTTTTGAGGCTGATGATAAAGCAATCATGGTGATGTGATAGAATCCAGACTGGTTTTGGGTGGATTGTGCCTTATCCAGTCCCAACCCCTGCCACAGGCAGGGACACCTTCCACTAGAGCAGCTTGCTCCATGCCCCTGTGTCCAACCTGGCCTTGAACACTGCCACGGATGGGGCAGCCACAGCTTCTCTGGGCACCCTGTGCCAGTGCCTCAGCACCCTCACAGCAAAGAGCTTCTGCCTAAGAGCTCATCTCAGTCTCCCCTCGGGCAGGTTAAAGCCATTCCCCTTGGCCTGTCCCTACAGGCCCTTGTCCCAAGCCCCTCTCCAGGTTTCCTGCAGCCCCTTTAGGCACTGGAGCTGCTCTCAGGTCTCCCCTTCAGGAGCCTTCTCCAGGCTGACCCAGCCCAGCTCTCTCAGCCTGGCTCCAGAGCAGAGCTGCTCCAGCCCTCGCAGCATCTCCATGGCCTCCTCTGGCCTCGCTCCAACAGCTCCACATCCCTCTTGTGCTGCTGCCCCAGAGCTGGATCAGGACTGCAGGGGGGTCTCCCCATAGCACAGCAGAGGGACAGGATCCCCTCCCTGAGCTGCTGCTCACGCTCTGGGGGTGCAGCCCAGCACACGGGGGGGTTCTGGGCTCAAGCGCTCACTGAAGCTGGGTCATGGGGAGCTTCTCCTCACCCAACACCCCAAGTCCTTCTCCTCAGGCTGCTCCATCCAGCCACTGATTTTTCTGGCATTGCTCTGATCCAGGGGCAGGACCTTGCACTTGCTGTGGTTGAACTCCATGAGGTTCACACAGTCCCACCTCTGCAGCCTGTCCTGGTTCCTCTCAAGGTCTGCTCAACAGGATCTTGGAATGTGAAATTTGAGGGTGCACAAGGTGCTGAACAAGTGCCACCATCTGTCTCTGGCATCCCAAGCTTGGTGCCACAAGCCTTTGTGCACGGAGGCTGCTGGAGACACAAGGTGAATCCCACCACAGCCAGCTCCAGCATGAGGAAAGAACTTACCTGGAGCCTGAAAGGGGTGGAAATCTGTTTTACCAGGGAAGATACTGAGCAGCTGCCTCATGTTTATCCAAAGCCAAACAGCTCCAGCAACAATTAAGTCAGGCAAGGGACCTTTGTAGGCCATTAAGGTGGTGCTGAAAGGCTGCAGAGACACCATGTCCAAGAAAAAGGTACTTTTCCAACCACCTGGATGCCTTTGAATTCAAACACATTTCGAATACCAAACACTGGTATTAGCAGAATCAATTCAGTGTGTTGTGGTTTAGCATCCACCCATCCCCTCCTCAGAACACTGCTTTGATCAAATTTCTGCAACTTCTTCTACCTCAAGATCCCAATCAATATGCTTTTATCATTAATAAAAAAGCATTAAGTTGGTCCAGTGACTATGAGCCAAACCACCAATTTCACTGAGACCTGGATCCGTCCTCCTACCTCACCAGAAATTAGATTTCTAGAATGAAACCATCTGAGGTAAATAATTAATATCCTTTTCCTTATAAATTAACATGATTCACTAAGCGCAAATTCTATTCAAAGTCTTTAAAACATAGTAAAAATGCTCCCAAATGAAGATCACGTTTCTCCTGCATTGCCAGATGAAGTGTCCCACTGGTTGATACCAAAGGTTGAGCCACCTCTGGCATCAAGGATCCCTTTCCCAGTGGGATTTAGAGCCCAGACTTGATCCTGAGCTCTCCACCCTGCCCACACTCGGAGCAGCACACCACTCCTGTGCTCATTTCCCAACCTTTTCTGCAAGCTCATGCAGACCTCAGGAGAAGGAAGATTTACCCTTCCTCCTTTGGTTGTTGCTCACCCATTCTGTTAGCAGCTGCATGTAGAAAGCAGGAACATCTCTGCTGTTACAAAACTCTTTCCTCTCTCCTCCTCTTTCCCGTAACATATAATGCTTCTTTTGCAGTTTATCAAGTCCCTCTGCTGGTATGAGCTAGAAAAAAAGGAACCAAACTTAACAGAACTCAACCAGGAAAGCAGAAGAATGTTTAAAATCAGATATTCAAAGCTAAAAAAAAAACCAAAAAAAAAAAAAAAAAAAACAAAAAAAGGTCTTCATTTACAGACCCAAAACCGGTTAAAACACTGAGTCCTCACAGGACCAGACCAGAATCCTTTATGTGCTGTCAAAGGAAATGGTCTCTGGCAGATCTATTTTAATGCAAAGGAATTCTGTTCTTCAGTATTTAACAACTCGTTAATGGAAAGATAAACTCATCTGCAAAAATAGACAATTTATGGTCTAAATTTGTCAGTCCTGACTGGTGCACATGTTCCCATTAATTCAGGTCTCACTAGCAGTCAGATTTATGAAGAAATTCAGTATCCAGACTTCGAGAGAGAAGTGGAACATGGTAAGTAAAGACACATGGATCTGCTAAGCATGAGACAACTGTAACTGGATTACAAATACTAAAATATATTAAAGTGGAAATAAAGGAATTTCACATAACTCCAGCACTAGGTACACCCTCATTCACCAACATACCAAAAAAGAAACCATTTCAAAAAGTCATAGAATCATAAAACAGAATCCCAAACTGGTTTGGGTTGGAAGGGATCTTAAAGCTCATCCAGTCCCAACCCCCTGCCACAGGCAGGGACCCCTTCCACTAGAGCAGCTTGCTCCAAGCCCCTGTGTCCAACCTGGCCTTGAACACTGCCAGGGATGGGGCAGCCACAGCTTCTCTGGGCACCCTGTGCCAGCACCTCAGCACCCTCACAGGGAAGAGCTTCTGCCTAAGAGCTCATCTCAGTCTCCCCTCGGGCAGGTTAAAGCCATTCCCCTTGGCCTGTCCCTATAGGCACTTGTCCGAAGCCCCTCTCCAGCTTTCCTGCAGCCCCTTTAGGCCCTGGAATGACACTGATGGCTATATAGTTAACCTGCCCTTAAATACAGACCAGGCACTTAGCAGCTTTTCTTCTCAGCTTAGATGAAATAAGCATTTCCTCCCCTGGTTTTCCATGCAGAATAAACAGCCCTAAAAATTACACTAATAGATCAATTCTGTGCAACAAAGTTCCTCCATCTAACACTTGAAGACCTAGCCCACTGCTTTAATTCAATACACTTTTCTCCTTTCTGTTCTTCATGCAAATTGACCCATTCTGAATTAGAATTTAGATCCTAAAACATATTTAGGATGTAGCTATTTAGCATATTTAGGGTGTGGTAGGACCAACAGGATATATCAGCTCACTTTGTTAAAACTGGGGCTCCCAAGCAGTTCTGGCCCAGCACTTCTGCACCCTCCTTCATTCAAGTCATGCAGCAAGACAGCTCACTGACTGACTCAGTGATCGAGCAGAAAACGAGCCCAGAGGCTATTTTCCTGCAGGCTGCTGAGAAACTGTTTTTATCCAGGCAAGCACTGACCAGCACACTGAGCTGGACCATGCAGGACTGCAGGGCACAGAGAGGTGAGGCTTCCTCCACACCAGGAGCCTGTACTGTGGATTCACCTCACCCATCTACCCACACCCTCTGTCATTTGAATGGGAACTGAAGAAACTCCTGCATTCACAGCAATTAACTAACCACATGAATGCAAAACTGTATTTACTGCCGGGATGGATAACCCAGTTCTGGAGCAGCAGTATCCAGGGGAGGTGAGCTGCAGTGGTGCATGCACACAGGTTCCATAGGCTTTTGGGCTGTACCCTTTTTTTACTTCCACGCTTTGATTTTGTCACATGCAGGTGGTATCCGCAGAGCCTTTAAGTCATTCCCTAAACTTCATATCACAACCATGAATGTCTTAGAAATAGGATTTTTTGGTTGTTACAGTGTGGAAGCAGATGTAGCAGAGCAGGTCAGGACACAGTTATTCTTCCACTGTAAGAACCATAGGGTAGCTGGAGTCTGCTCAGCTTTTGAACACATAGAGTAGCATGAATATCAAGGTCTCTGGAGCTGGTATTCATTTTTATCTTACAAAAGAAAAACAATTTATGGGGTGAAAGAATGTTCCAGTGCATGATCTGTAGATTCTGCCTGTTTTGTACCATTTTTAAGAGAGAAGTCAGAGATCAGTGAGTTTCTGCTCCAGAATTCATATTCTTCAAGCCTGTGCTCTTCCCAATACTTTAAGAGATCTCAGATACCCTCTAAATTTGAAGCAGAAAATATTAATGTTGGTGTAATTCAGTTCAGAGTTACCATAACTGCAGGTAAGACAGGGTGGGGATAAGATGTCGAATTCAATTGCATCCATTTAGTTAAACAGTAGGAAATCACGCTCTTCCTTTGAAGACTGTTGCTTCATTACAGCCAAGAACACTCTTAGTGAAGAAAACTTGAAGAATATCCAAAAGAAAGCTGCAGGATTTGACTTCCTCACCTCCACAGTTTGGTTTGGGTGAGGGTTACTGCAGCACACGTAGTGCACAGTGCTCTGTATCTACAGGGGAGGGATCTTTAAAGAGCAGAAGTGTTCTCAGATTTTAGAGCTTTGCTATTCTTCATTAAAAGCAGGAAGGAAAACTGTATATTACAAGGGATTTGTTTTCTATCTATATTACCATCAAGTACACAAAGTAAAGCACAGACACAGCAGCTGCACTTACATCTGCCAGAGTTTTCAGTGTTTATTAGAAAACTCTGAAGTGTTTCAGCTTTCAGGAAATCTATGCTGGGGAAAACAGCTTTAGGGTTCTAAACCACTCAGTTTCACTTTCAACCAGAAAAGTAAGCTAAAATTTGGACACTTCTAATTGGTTTCAAGGCAGGAAGAAAAGAAGATAAAGTTGATCTGTATGTCCCTTGACTGATAAAGTTATTGCAGAAACAGACTGAGTGACATGTATGTGAAATTCCTCCTGTAGGGGTATTTCTACAAACACAAATATGCTTTTAATCAGGATAATTTGTCTTAGAAAATGCACCTGGAGGAACATTTTAGGAGAGGCTACTTGTCATCTGCTAAAGACTTCCAGAGTCTTCTAAAACTTCACTGATGCAGGGAATAGGTATGCAAACTTAGGGCTCATGCCTCAGAGGTTTAAATGAATCAAACTGGTAAGAGTGATTCAGGAAAGCCTAAACTGCATTTATTTATGAGGAAACTTCATATGCAAAGGGAGAATTAGAAGAGCTCCTCAACTTGAGCAGTAGCAACAGCCAAGTTACAACCATTTGGCAAAACTATTAGTTCCAGCGTGATAGTCCTCTTACACAGAAACAGGGTTACAGTTACAGAATACTATAGACAAGTTTGAAATAGATGTTACTCAAAAGCTTGTAACAGGTAAGGTATCTTAAATTCTGGTGCAGAACACAGACCTTCCGACTGTATCAAGCCAAATGATCCAGTGCTCTGCTGTAAGAATCTGTGGTCCAAGGAAGAGAAGGACGGCCCAGCCTAAACATTCAGTTTCTGGGGTGTTTGAAACCAACTATTATGAATTTATTCCAAGTTCAAGACATCCGAGTATCCTTTTTTCTTGCTTTAAAAAAGCAAAATAACTGTACCTGGTACTGTCTCCAGTTTGCAAGTGTTCTGTGTGTCACAGTTGGATACCAGAATCCTACAGTTACCCAACACCATCCTAGTTTATGTCTTCACACCAAGCTTGCTAACACTATCATTTTAACTTTCTCATTGGAATTTCTATTGTCATGAAGTCCTCTGCTAGTGTTACTTCTTGGCCATCTAACACTGACTCTGCCTGTCTCTTCAGTTCGGTGATGTCCGCATCACCCTCACCTCTCTGCGCATCTGGTTTGTACCGCTGACTGAAGTGAGTCAACACCAGTTTCTTAACTTTACACCATTTTGCAAACTCCGAAGCCATTTTCGGAGTGCTATGACCATGCTCTCTGGCCTTTTCCTCTTGGGTATCGTCCAACGTGGCTTCGTGTATCAGTACATCTGCTCCACAGCAAAGCTTTGCGGCCGCATCTCCAACCACCCCTGAACAATCTCCCAGAATGCAAATTTTTCTTCCTGGAATAGGGTCTTCTAAGACATCAGAAGGATAAATCTTTAGTCCATTTTCTAGAACAACTGTACTCCCACTCTTCAGCTTCCCATATAAAGGACCTGGTTGAAATCCTGGTGAATAAAGACAAAAGAGTCCATAAGTATAATAACAAGTGTCAAGTTTAAAAACAAGAAATTAAGAAGAAATACCCTCTATATATTATATACCTTTATATATATAGCCGTCTTACTGAAAACATACAACCTCAATATAAATATTGGCTGGATGGCCAAACACAAAGGGTTGTCCCTCAGGGATTGGTGTTGGGACCGGTCTTGTTCAACATCTTTGTCGCTGACATGGACAGTGGGATTGAGTGCGCCCTCAGCAAGTTTGCCCATGACACCAAGCTCTGTGGTTCGGTTGATACCCTGGAGGGAAGGAATGCCATCCAGAGGGAGCTTGACACGCCTGTGAGGCAGGCTGATGCCAACCTCATGAAGTTTAACCATGCCAAGTGCAAGGTCCTACACCTGGGTCGGAGCAATCCCAGGCACAGCTACAGGTTGGGCACAGAAGAGATTCAGAGCAGCCCAAGGAGAAGGACTTGGGGGTGTTGGTTGATGAGAAAATGAACACGAGCCGGCTTCAGTGTGCGCTCACAGCCCAGAAAGCAACCGTATCCTGGGCTGCATCAAAAGGAGCGTGACCAGCAGGTGGAAGGAGGTGATCCTGCCCCTCTACTCTGGTCTCGTGAGACCTCACCTGGAGCATTGTGTGCAGTTCTGGTGTCCTCAACAGAAAAAGGACATGGAACTGTTGGAACAAGTCCAGAGGAGGCCACGAGGATGATCAGGGACTGGAGCACCTCCTGTATGAAGACAGGCTGAGGAAGTTGGGGCTGTTCAGCCTGGAGAAGAGAAGGCTGCGTGGAGATCTCATAGCAGCCTTCCAGTATCTGAAGGGAGCCTATAGGGATGCTTGGTAGGGACTCTTCATTCGGGACTGTAGTGATAGGACAAGGGGTAACGGGTTCAAACTTGAACAGGGGAAGTTTAGATTGGATCTAAGGAGGAAATTCTTTCCTGTTAGGGTGGTGAGGCTCTGGAATGGGTTGCCCAGGGAAGCTGTGAATGCTCCACGCCTGGCAGTGCTCAAGGCTAGGTTGGATGAAGCCTTGGGTGGCCTGGTTTAGTGTGAGGTGTCCCTGCCCATGGCAGGGGGGTTGGAACTTGATGATCGTAAGCTCCTTTCCAACCTTAACTACTCTATGATTCCAAGTAGAATTATAAATTGCAATTGACACTTCATATGCCTCATGCAAATACAGAGCTTACAACATTAACAGGAAGTGTGTTCGAAGAAAAGCTATATTATCCGTACTAAAGTCAATAAAGACATGCAGATACACCAGCCATACATTTCCCTGAAAGCCACATTGTGCTTTTAAACTCAAACATCTGAACTTGTTTGCCCTTCTCAGTATGACAAGATTAAATGGCAGTACTGTTACACACCAACATGAAGCATTTAAATGCCTTTCATAGAAAATGGAAAATTGAATTAAAGTGGTTATGGAGACATACAGCAGCTCTAATTTGCTAGACCCCTAGAAAGGCTGCTCACAAAGATTTCAACTGCCTGTGAACGCAATTTTGTTCCATTTGCTGAAAATCAGAGCCGCTACTCAGCTTAAACACATACATTTAGGCATTTAAAACACTTAAAAAAGACAGAAAACAAGTCAAAGTAATTACCAAGGTCTTTCAGTTTCTGTACATTGAGTTTACCGGTCCGGGGCTTCTCTTCCACCACAAAGCCAAAGGAAGGAATGCGGTGAAATAGGCGAAATGCTTTCAGAACTAGCTGCTCATCCTCAAGCAGCAAGTAAGAGTCTTCTGCTGGATCCAGATGAAGTATTCTCCCTTGTGCTCCCTCAGGAGGTATCACATCACTGCCCAAGTAAGAGAACTCTCTGAATTCTTCTGCAGGGCACTGGTCCCGTGTAGGCACCAGTTCATGAACAGTGTAGGGAAAGAGAAGTTGGGAGTGGGAGAGCTCCATACTTCTCCAGATGAAGTCTCGCAGCCCTAATGGCCCATAAATATCCAGAGGTGGTTTGTCTGCATCAGGGCTGCTTTGGAGGCTAATTGTACACAGCAGGCCAGGAAGTCCAAAAAAGTGGTCGCCGTGAAGATGAGTGATGAAGATCTTGGTAATTCTGCCTGTTGATCAGAACAGGGAAAGAAAACCCAGAAGAAAGAAAAACCCAAGAAAATAAATGAGCACAGCAACTCAGAAAAAATCACTTTGGGGCAAGAAGTAGGAAATGTAAGGGAGAAGGGAAATTAATATAAAACTAGTGTTTAAGAAATAAATTCCAAACCAGTTTTTCTTTTCCACAGCAGTGATAAGTTTCCACACCAGGTTTATTTTGGCTTGATTTGCAAAAGACTGCCAGGGCAGAAGTTTTAGTTCCTTCTAAGCAAAACATTCTACAAACATGGAAGAAAGCTGAGTGGTGACATCTGCTATATTAAAAGTGAAGAAGTGCTGGAAAATGGTCATGCTTCCTCCATACATTACATGGAATCTGTAGGCTAATGAGAAATGTAATGTGGAATCTGCATCGTTCCTACTTTTGAATTTAGCACATGAAATGAACATAAAACCAAAAAGCATCCAGGTTTGATTTTAATGTTTTTAAAAGGCAAGAACCCCACAGATCCTGACTCGTTTCTTTGGAACAGATGAAAACCTGCACTTAAAAGATTCAGCTTTGTTTTTGTGTCTAAGCCCTCCTCTTGACCCGTTACAAAAGCCCAGAATCTTCTGTCATGACAGACACATGTACTTTAACCAGGCTGCCTCAGCTGAGGTTCCACATCAACACAGTGAGGCATTTTCTCCACCATCTGTTAGGACTCAGCAGTAGGAAGAACAGAGTCTTTGTTTTGATTGAGGAACAATTAAGTAAATATCAGTAACTCTAGCAAAAAATTAATCTATCCATTTGGCCACTAAATCCCCTGATAGCTTCAGATTTCAAAGGAGCAGAAGGCTGGTTTTCTATTCATAATTGGCAATTCCATCTTTACAACTCGGGAGTCAGAAGTCTGCTCTTGCCACTTCAGGATGAGAATCACAGCGACTGAAGGCTCAAGTCTGGTTTCTACTTAATTTGCCAAAATGGAAAAGTTACCATGAATTCACAGAACTTTTCCTGAAATCAAAAGCACAATAATTACTGAGAGGAATACTCACAGCAGGTATTGTCTAGAGCTGCCTTCAGACAGATACAAACTGTGCTGGTTTAAAGCTGGTCTGCGGCCCATATTTCAAAGTACAAAGCCTGATACATTAATTACGGAGAGTTTGGTTCTCAAACAGAGTTCTTTACCGAAGGGCAATCAGGGATTTACTGCACAGTATGTTCACCAGCTGCCGTCCATAAGCAGCGGCTCACGCATGTTGAGTGCGTATTCAAATGCTACAAGAATAGAGTGTTTTGTGTAGAGCTCCTGAAACTGCCCCCTTCCCTCATCGTAACAGCTTGCACAGCACAAACCTGCTCTGAGATGGCTCTTCATGATCTGTGTTTGAGTTCCCTCCCCGCAGTCAAACAGCCAGCACTCTCCTTCCCTGCGAAGCACCAGTGCCGACGCTCCTCTGGTTGGAGAGGGATATGCTGAGCCAGTGCCGAGGAAGGTTATATCCATAGACATCCTCAGTGCGTCTGTATATCTGGAACAGAGATCCTGAGCTGCTGAACATTTGTATTTATGCTGGGAAAGAAACGAACATTTTGGCTTTAAATGAAGGCATCCTCCCTCCTTTAGCGTGAGGACCAAATTCCCCTTCCCTGGAACAGGGTATGACTTTCAGACAACACAATATTTACAAGCAGAAACTCCTCTTTATGTCAGTGGAAGGCTACAAACAGCCCAAACATAAGGACTTTGTTACCCAAAGACACAGCCCTATCCAGTCGGAAATGTTCAAATCTTTAAACACACTACTACTTCATTCTTCTTCTTTAAACTTTGTGTCTACCCTCATGTGCTTTCCTCTAAAAGCCATTTTGGAATGACTGACAGCACAGCCACTGCTGACACTTGAATGTTGTTACTGGATGTCAGAAGTGGGCAGCCCAACAATGCAGAGGTGAGAGATCTGCTCCCCTCAAGACAACTGCATAGACCACGAGGCAGGAGTGACCTGATTTACTTTGCCTTTGCAACGGCATCTTTGAAAGCTTGTTTGATGTCTCAGTGTTAGGAGGAAAAACAAACCAAATGACCAAGGCTTACATAGCCATGAGGCTGTGTAACAGCCCACAGGACACCTACTGCGGCTGAAGGATCCACACAATCAGCTATGCAGTGCTGGACGTATCCACTGTAGTGTCCGGGTGAGGAGCCCGGCTGGTCTGTATGAGCAGCATAACCTTTGGAAAGCTGTGTTAGAATCATGCAACCCCAGACTGGTTTGGGTTGGAAGGGACCTTAAAGCTCATCCAGCTCCAACTCCTGCCAAGGGCAGGGACACCTTCCACTAGAGCAGCTTGCTCCAAGCCCCTGTGTCCAACCTGGCCTTGAACACTGCCAGGGATGGGGCAGCCACAGCTTCTCTGGGCACCCTGTGCCAGCGCCTCAGCACCCTCACAGGGAAGAGCTTCTGCCTAAGAGCTCATCTCAGTCTCCCCTCTGGCAGGTTAAAGCCATTCCCCTTGGCCTGTCCCTACAGGCCCTTGTCCCAAGCTCCTCTCCAGCTTTCCTGCAGCCCCTTCAGGCACTGGAGCTGCTCTCAGGTCTCCCCTTCAGGAGCCTTCTCTTCTCCAGGCTGCCCCAGCCCAGCTCTCTCAGCCTGGCTCCAGAGCAGAGCTGCTCCAGCCCTCGCAGCATCTCCATGGCCTCCTTTGGCCTCGCTCCAACAGCTCCACGTCCCTCTTGTGCTGCTGCCCCAGAGCTGGATCAGGACTGCAGGGGGGGTCTCTCCATAGCGCAGCACAAGATAACGGATGATTCCCGTCACCCCCAACCCCACAGATGAACGTTTCTCTCCCTCTCCCCGGTGCAAAAGCAGCCACATCTCGTCAGCAGCCTCCCGAGCTCCGCTCCCCCGGAACCCCAGCGCCGTTCCGGGCCTCATCCCGCGGGAACGGCCCGGGGCAGCCGGCTGGGTACGAGGGGTCCCCACACCGCCGCCTTCAGCAGGGCCTACCCAGCTCCGCAGCGCGGCCCGGCCCCTCCGCGCTCTCCCAGGCGGCTCTGCGGCCAGGGCGGGGCGGGCGGGGCGCTGCGGCAGGTCCCGGCTCCGGCCGCGGCCTGTGGGAACAGGGGTGCAGCCCCGCAGGGCCGGGGTTGTTGTGCCAGGTAACCTTTAACAGTAATCGAAGATAGCTGGTTCTGAATTGAACTGTGGATGAAAGCGGCACTAATATGCGTGATCCTACCCAGTGCACACCTGGCATGAATGTCTCTAAACCATTCTGTTCAACAGCTACCTAGAAGCATACTTAATACATCCCGTGATTCACTGAATCCCGGACTGGTTTGTGTTGGAAGGGACCTTAAAGCGCATCCAGCTCCAGCCCCTGCCACAGGCAGGGACACCTTCCATAGAGCAGCTTGCTCCAAGCCCCTGTGTCCAACCTGGCTTTGAACACTGCCAGGGATGGGGCTGGTACTGGCAAATAAAGGGTTAACATTGTGGCTGCTTGCTTAAGCAGTCGCTGTGCTTGGTGAAGCAGAACCCTAGGAGTCAAAGTTGCTAGAATGTTGAAGCAGAATTGTAGGAGTTACAGCTGCTAGGCAGAATTGTAGTAGGTAAGATTCATAGCTTAATATTTAAGACATTCTTGTTCAAATAGTATCTTTAGAAAGAAAAGGAACAAAAGATAGCCAGAGTAACACAATTTGCAAACCTGACATGTTTCTGCTTTAAGATACATAAAACCGGCTTGTACCAAACCTGAGATTTGGATCGGAGCCGAAACTCTATTGACTCTGCCTGAAAGCAAGAGGTTACTCGCAGTGATGAAGAGGAACTACAGGCCTTCATCCTCACAACCCCCTAACGACCACCACCAGGAGGCACTGCACAGGCGCACCAAGGGGATGAATGCCAGAAATCTAATTATAATATTAGATGGAAACAGGTTTTGCATATGTATTAGGTGTGAAGCAATCTCATGTTCAGGTAACCATTATATGTAATATAAACGAACTGAGTAGCAAAGAGGGCGCGCGCATGCTTTTGGAGGAGCAATCCCCATGTGCCTCAGCGCTGAATAAAGCATACCTACTTTACAACTCTAATGAGTTGTGGAGTCTATCCACTTATCAGTATCAGGGCAGCCACAGCTTCTCTGGGCACCCTGTGCCAGCTCCTCAGCACCAGTGTCCAAAAGAGAATGCGACTGGAGGTGATGTTTTGTGCAGTGTGGGTACACTGGGTTCTGTAGGACACTTGAGGTTACCCCTGTGTAAAGGAAAGAAGGTGAAGCACAAGGAAGACAAACCCATTTTGAAGATGGGTACCAAAGGTTTAGGATGTGGTGCGGATACTGTGATGAGATTGCTCCAACGTCTGTGCACTTTCACCGATGGCTTTTCCAAATGACCTGGATGGTAACAACAGTATGCTTGCTAGGTTTCAGTAGTGGACTTGGCAGTGATTGGTGAATGGCTGGACTCAGTTCCTTAAGCCCCTTTACAAGGAGTTTCTTTAACAGTGCAGTAAAACACCCAAATGTTCAAAAAAGTCGTTTTGAAATAAAAACTGGAATTGCTTTAACTTCAGCCTAACTACCTGTTTTGTTGGCTGATCAGGCCAGGCTGGATGTGGCTTGGAATAACCTGGTCTAGTGGAAGGTGCCCATGGTTGGAACTGGATGAGGTTAACATCCCTTCCAACCCAAACCAGTCTGGGATTCTATGCTCATTTGAAAACGACGACGGGGGGGGGGGGGGGAGTATAAACCAAACCATCAGTAATCGTGTACCAATTCCATATAGATCAAGTGTTATTTTCACAGAATAAATAATATCAAATATAAGCAAAGGGAACGCATTTTACTAAGAAAATAGAAGACCAGAACACACATTTCAATAGAGTTACAACATTATAAAGGAAGAAAAATCCCCAACCTGTTTACATTTAAATACAATTTTAGTTTCAGCTGAGCAATGACCCTCCCAGGTAAAGCCAAGCCTGGACAGTTCTCATAAGCACTCCAGTAGACTTACATTTATTTTTGTAAGGTAGATATGCTCAAAGTGAAAATAAATGTGGATTATTTTGACATTTATTGACAAACTGGCCATCTTACTATGTCTGTGTATTCCTAATAGTATTTTTATTTCCATTAGGAAGGAGCTACTTAAAGGATGGGTGAGTCAAAGACAGTTGGAGAGTTAAGTGCAATCCAGTGCCAACATTGTGTGCAGGGAATACAAATGCACACCACAGTTTTCTGCACTGCACGCACAACATCTGATGCAAGGCAGCTTTTTACATGAGCCATGGTCCACTGTGCCAGCAGGTTCCAGATTAATCCCCGTGAACATTTTCCCCTGGAGCAGGCACTAGCAAGCTGCATCATCATGGAGTGCTGCGGTTTGGGAAGCAATGGTAGGCAGCAGAGGTCTGAAGCTGGATTTTCCTTGCTGTTCACCCAGAACATCTGCAGGCTTCCCGATACCATGGTAATGAGTTTTTTTGGAAGCAGGTAAATAGGTCAGTGTAGATCCATACAGAATTAGATGTTCCTTCAACAGTGGTAACTGAATTATGTTTCCCAAATTCATCGGCCATTTGGGTACAATTCGAGCTCTGCTCTAGATTTTCTCCTTGCTCCAGTATTCAATGTAACACCAGTCCCCGCCTGTTACATATGGCTGTTACAAAACACAACAGCAGTATGCATGCCCTTAAAAAGAGTTCAAAAACAACAGTGGTTTTCTTAAATTCGGGAATAGCATTTATGGCTGAGGCAGAATAGGAATCCAAACTTGCAGTCCGATCTGAGAGGCCCACAGATACCTTTATTTGAATGACAGAGGTGCTCAAACCTGCACCTTTGAAGTCAAGACGACCCGGAGCAAATGGAAGATGACAACTTGGATTTAGTTAGGCCCAGAGTCAGCTGAACTAAGATTCACAGTTGTAGCTGTACATCAGTAATCCCCGTTCTCCTACAGGAGTAGTCACCAAATAGGGTTGCTAGTGAAAAACTAAAAGGAGTATCACTTCTCTTTGCAGTTACTACCAGAGGAGTGTGACAAAGAGTTACTTTACCTTCTCCCACAAAATAGCGTGCTGGAAACAACAGTACAGAGAAGACACGCACATACCACAGGAAACCTGTTAAACACCAATCTGCAGGTACAGTGTGGCTTTGTTTTAAGCTTGGAAAACAAACACAACATCATGAAACATCACTATTCACAAACATAACTGAGAATTTATGCAACAGTCACATCTGGGGTTTAAAATCTATCAGACACTGCATTTTAACAGTCTTCCTCTATATGTCAGTTGTGGTCATAGGCTTTGGGAACACACAAATCCTATCTCTGAACAAGAACATGGATATTTTATTAATATAGGCTGCACTCCCTTAGCTACCTTTCTTCTCCTTCTATAGATGCTTCTATACATTGCTGCCATGAGGCTCAGTCCTGCTCCTGTTGATTTTAAGGAAGCAAGTCCTGGAAAAGACCAAGCTACTGACCTCGGTGGGAGTTTCTGATCCTCTCAAAGTGTTCTGTACATCCAGAGCAGTATCCTCACAGACGAGATGGGAAATACAAACTTCTGTACCACTTGGAGGGGAAAGTCCCTGTGTGAGGAGCTAGCACACTAGTCATCCTTTAGGCAATATTTTTTAACTTATGGTATGTAACATTAGAAAATGCATCCTGGTAACAAGATTTTCCCTTTGCATATTGTGTTAAGAGTTTTCTGTATAGATAAAGATCAGTAAATGCTTTTGAATAAGCCATAAAACAGAAAAAATCAGGTTAAGTAATATATGAAAATGGTACTGTGATTCCTTACTAAACAGTAAGAACAGCAGTTGTAATTAATTGAAAGATTAACTGGATCTGAAGAATACTCAAAACTGAAAAAAAATGTATCTATGTATTTTATATAAAGAAAAAATAACCTGTAAAAGATGATGGGGAGAGCGAAATGCACGTAAAGATTTGCAAGCTGATGTGTTACTTGTTGCTAAGGGAAAACAGCAGTACATTATAGGTAAAATTGCACCATGTCTTTGTTGCAAGAACCTGATTAAACTATGTCCACAAGTGCGGATGCACAGATGAGGTCTAACTGGTACCAGTTAGCTGCAGTAACTCGGACAGGTTAAAGAGGGACAGTCTACTCTAGAGCTCCAAAACGTGCAGATCAGGGCAGGGCTAGATGGTAACTGGAGCCTCAGAGCCAGATGAAGACTGTTTTTTCCTCACCTGTGCAGTGGTATTTCCAGAAAATTTATGCAGGAACATTTGTACTTGGGAAGATCCCACTGACAGCTAGTTCTGAACAATCCCTCTTGGCATCTGCTTGAAGACAGCAGGGAGCCTGTGCCAGGAAGGGAAAGGACTGCACTGCTCAAAACAGGCATCTTCCCTCAGCTTGGTAGCAGCCACTGCCAGTTTCAAGTGCAGGAGCTCCCCCTGGGAACCGAATTCACTCTCGCCCAAAGCAAAGACTCCTGCTGGACACAGGTATTGCTATTTTTGCAAGCAGCAGGTTTTCATAGGTACTACCAGTGCCCACTGGTCATGGGCTGTGACTGCACTTCTTGCCTGAAAAAAATGATCAGACTGAAGAGATGGATGCAGATCTTTATTTTGTAAGACAAAGAGTTATATTTACGGACTGACTGCCCTTACTCTGTGATCGTTCCCAGCCAGGACACAAGATCAGTGCATGGGACATTTTTGTTACTCGTCTTGCCTGATCAGTGTGTGGGCAGATGTGGGGAGATGTGGGGAAGTATGCATTCCTAACGTACTTGAATCCAATGATGCAGAACTCCACCAGCACTATAAACAGGCTTCAGCTAGAGCTGAATTTTCAGGAGCCAAAATAATCTGTACACTAAATAAATAATTTTTCAGTAAGATCACAGATTTAAATACAATAAAAACCAGGCACAGCAAAAATAGATGGGGCAAAAAGCATCCTCTGTAAAAACATCCTATGTGTGTGTTGGTCTTTTTTGTATATATGCTTAAATATACAAGTTGCAAACCACATACGTCGCCCAATTAGGCAATGCAGCATTTCAAGCCCCACCAGACAGCACTTTACCACAGTTTGAATACACAGTCGTTTCTCCACATCACTATTTTCTGTTTATGTAATCAGTCTTCTTTCCTCACTTAGGTAAAGCCTTCCCAAAGTTTATTCTTTTTATTTAATACATGGACATAATTTTAAATTCAAAGACTAAGCAGTAAGTGACAGAGCCCATGTCTAAGGGGGTAACAGAGATTATTTTCCCTGTTCTGTTTCAGGTCTACTCTGTGGAGACTGCATTTTCCAATATAAATGAAGGTATGAGAGATGTGCTTGCCATGAGTAAATCCTGAGCAAGCTTTACTTCATTTCTACTACATTGGAATCTGGCTTCAAGTTTGCCACTATCACCTTGTTATGTCTAATTATTCAGTTTTGGCTTGCTTTTTTTTTAATGCCTTGATGCAGCAAACAATGGAACAGCACATTAACTTCATTTTTGTTCTTAATATACCACTGTTCTAGTTACAGAGATTAGATTAGGAGAAATCACAGACCGTAACTACCAGTGTGTGCCTGTGCCTGCTAATATGAAGTGACGAAGGGCACTTCGACCTGGTATAAACAAACCACACAGGAACACACGTTGTGGTATCTGTAGCAAACGTGCAGTACTACTTACTGCAAGGAAAAATTCAACTTGCATTTTGTGTTCACACAAATTAAACGTGTAAATGGAGTGAGGAACATGAAGTGACCAACTTGGAGCTTCGAAGCATGAGATCTTTCGAGTCCAGTATTCAAACTGGACCAAATATACTAGATTGAGACCACAGGAAACATTCAGACTTGTGTATATGTGTGTGTCAATAGCTGCCTGTAACATTTTCTGTTCCAGCTTCTTCAGCTGCCTGTGGGACATTTGTTCAACTTGGCAACTGAGTCCACTTAGGAGTTTTTGAGTCTGCAATGTCATGAAAACATCACACACAAGTCTTTGTGAGAAATGGGTATGCAAGGGAAAGAACAATTAAACTTAGAAGAAACAGAACCTTGGAAAACTAACAAGTGAAACAAAAATCCTTCGGTGCATCACCTTGGAGTCTGCTGCAGGAAATCTCCTTGTAAAATCTCTTAAATATTCTGGTTAGTTATCTCAGATCCTGTCCTTTACATGATAAAATCTACTATGCAACAGTATGGCTTTGTTTTCAAAATATGTTAAGCAATGGGTATTATTTTCGGGCTTTCCAAGGATAATTTTAACTGTTTCACATTTTTCCTGATTCATACATTTCACACAATGATGAAAACATGAAACACAAACATTGCTGCAGAGTCCCCATCTGCAAACCGTGATGCTCCTCAGAGCACACTCAAAGAAATAAGAGGAGCCAACGCCACACGCAAGACTGGATATGGCAAACTTTAAACATCAGACAAACCAGAAACACCATTATAGAATCACAGACAGGTTTGGGTTGGAAAGAACTTTAAGATCACTAAGTTCCAACCCCCTGCCATCACCCTAGACCATGTTGCCCAAGGCTCTGTCCAACCTGGCCCTGAAAAAATTAGACTGTTAATTTCAAGCTATTTTTTTGTTTGACAAATGCTCTCTGGTGATGTCACAGATAATGCAGTGTGACAACACGAGGACAATTATAAGACTGATTATTTAAAGCAGAAATAAATCATTCTGGAAATCGGCAGTGATAAGAGACCTATAGTTCATCATCAAACACATGTTTCTAAAACATCATTAATGGAATTTTTACTGTGGTGCTGGCTTTAAGCTAGAAATGCAGTGTCATTAAATTAATTCTGGAGAGCTCTCTCATTCCTGTGACAGATGTCATTATCCATACAGTTTATCAGGTACTTGGGAGAGTGGGGAGAAATCTATGTCAAGTGAAAAACAGGGTAGAAGGGGGGTAAGAAAAAAAAGAAGACAACAAAATGAGTGAAAATAAATTACAGGACTCAAAGATCATGATTTAAATCAGACCGAAAAGGGGATCCCTGCAGAGAAGAAGATACTGCCTAAGGAGTGTGATCTTCTGATGCATCAGTGAACCTTAGATTCAGGCCAGTCATACACATCTGGCATGAAGGATTCGTATTCGTAGGACCAAACCTTTGATCGAATGTAACTGTTCTTGTCTGCAGGTTCAGGGTAATGGAAAGCCATGTTGTTTGCGTACAAAAATTCCATAACCTGGAAAGTTAAATCACCATGTGGTTTGTGCCTTTTATTACATTCGCATAGCATCCAGCGCTTCCACTGCAATATGCTTAGAACTCACAAACTGAATAAAGACAAACACCAAAGGGATCTGAAAACTTAATTTCAGAAATCAAAGGAGCATAACTTTGGCTCACCATCACTGCCATACTGAAGCATCCAACAAATTTAGACATTTTAAAGCATCTCTTATTAAAGGCATAAAGAACTGGGTATTTTGCACCCCAGCACCTAGTGTTCGAGGGTCATAGTGTGCAATTCAGCAGCTTAATGGACACATAAAACACTTTTAGTACCGTCCACTTTTATGCTTCATACTCACCTTGACAGCAATATAAATAGAAACTTCCCTGATATTAGACAGTGGAGGATAGAGTCTTCCCTGTGCAAGTTCTTCATCAGTCAGCTGTTCCGACAATGCCTGGGTTAGAAAAACAAGTCCTTAGAGCAGCTCCAGCGCCTAAAGGGGCTACAGGACACCTGGAGAGGGGCTTTGGACAAGGGCCTGTAGGGACAGGCCAAGGGGAATGGCTTTAATCTGCCAGAGGGGAGACTGAGATGAGCTCTTAGGCAGAAGCTCTTCCCTGTGAGGGTGCTGAGGCGCTGGCACAGGGTGCCCAGAGAAGCTGTGGCTGCCCCATCCCTGGCAGTGTTCAAGGCCAGGTTGGACACAGGGGCTTGGAGCAAGCTGCTCTAGTGGAAGGTGTCCCTGCCTGTGGGAAGGGTTGGAGCTGGACAAGCTTTAAGGTCCCTTCCAACACAAACCAGCCTGGGATTCTATCTACTGCTTCCCAAATGGGATCAATGACACGCTAAAACACCTGAGAGAACAAGTTCCAGTGTTCTTAGTACTAAAGTGCTCCCAAAGCACTAGAAAAACACAGTCAAAAATCTCAAAAATTCTCAAAGATCAACTCAGGCCTGCTGCCAGACATACAAGGTGGGGAGGCAACATACACATGGACAGATTTCCTATTTGAGTGTTTAGTTTCTGGATGAAAAAAAAAAAAAAAATCAAAATTGCAGTGGAAGCTGACACTTTTCACAATTTTGTCTGATCAAAATCCGTTTCTTCCCACTGGGGAGGGATAAACCAAACAGAAACCAAACAGGAAACCTGAGAGTTTCAGCAAGACTGAAGAAATTGCCCATCTTGCCATCTACCATCACGTCAGAAGCCCCAGCCTACTCTGTTCCCACACTTACCTTAGCAGCTTCTAGGAAAACCTTATCGCTAATATGTCGAACGCTGCTGAGGATCACAGCAAGAGCCACACCTACAATGAAATTACTGCCAATTAGGACACATCACTTTAAAACAGCAGCCTGCTGCTGAGAGCTGACAGTCATCTAGAATGTTGGGGGGTTTACTAATCTTCCCATAGCTTTCTACACACATTGACAAAACTCTCAGCATGCATGCTAGTCATTTACCCTAATAGGTGGCTTTTAGCAAAGAGCTACAGATTAGCAGCTCAGGAAGGATAGGGAGAGAAATATCCCCAGTGCTTCTTTTGTACTCTCACTTGTGCAGAGGTTAACTTCAAGGGGAGCATATTAACACCTATTTTGTCCTCCCCCGCCTCCCCCACAAATAAGCAGAAGAACCCATAATGCAGGAGCTTTCAAAGCCTTTAATAACATCCTTCTGTTTTCTTAGAAACAATCAGTTGGGTGAGCTCACTGTGTGCATGTTTGCATGTGTAGCTAAACATGCCTAACATCCGTCCTTAACTGATTTTCTTTCATTGATTCTGCTGATTAAATTCTCAGCTTTAAAGCAATTAAAGCATTTAAATGCTGGTAATGCCTCATGCTGCTTCACTAAATGTGTCTAGTGTATCAAGGGAACCCAGGAAGAGGTGCTAATAACCTAGAGTTAAAGATTAAACAATTTTAAAGTAGATTTTTAACAATTTTATTTATTACCTGGAAAAATATAAGCATTGTTTCCTTGGCCTGGTTTGAAGCTTCTTCCATCTTTCAGAGTCACCAGCTCGAAGGGACTGCCACTGGCAAACAAGCAACGGCCCTGTTAAACAGAGGTATGATCACATTCAGGCAACTTTTAAAGAACCAGAAGTATGGAGTCTTTAAGAAATGCAGGGACACCAGAGTCCTGCAGCTCCCAGATTTAGGTCTGAGACAAGAAGGTATTTGACCATGCAGCAAAATGGCAAATGGCCCTTCTGAATGCAACTGGATTCAAGGACACACTTAAATCCCTTGCTGACTCTGTGTCTAGATGACAATCACCTAATCCACTCTTTCCCGTAGGGCCTGGAAGAGATACAAGAATCATTAAGCATCTGCATGGTTCTGCAGAAACATTGCAGCAAACATCTGGAAAGTGAGAGGCAAGCACACACATTGAATTGTGCTCCTTTCTAAGGAGTTGGAGCAATCTATTTGTTTTATCATTCATAGTTCTTTAAGACAGCAATGTTTAGAGGAACTGCTCACAGACAAAATAAAGTATTTGTGTGTTAATCATTGTTATAACCATAACGAAGATCGGACCCGACAACACAGGGACTGCATAAAGACAGCTGAAAATGGCCACTTCCAAAAGGAGATTGACTAAAAGTACAGTAACAAAAGGGCACTTGTTTAGTGATGGGTGGGAGGGTGAAAGGGGGAGTGCTGTATCATACTTGCTGAGAGCTCTGAGAGGGGTGAATAATGCAGTTTGCTTACCCTTCCTTTGAAAAGGATTTTAATCAGCATGAAACATTAAAGCAAATCCAGAGCTTGGAGTGTGAAATACACCCTCCAGATAAATGACCCTTTCCTCAGGCAATAACTCCCTGTAAGCAAAAAATATCTACTTTCTTTTGAGCAACAGATTTAATAGCATTACTTTAAAATGCTTAAGGCTCCCCAGGACCACTACATTTGAAAACAAACCACCAAAGAGGCTAAAGTCTCAGGAGCTACATTTGAATGTCAGGGCATACCCATGACAATAGCCTTTTTGTGTAGGGAGCAAAACGTATGGATGCATTTGAGACAGGACCAAAGGACAATGAATATTAAAACACAACAAAAGCCCACACAATACACATTAGCAAAGGGCGCTAAAGCATTGTCGGTCTGTTACAGGTGCCACCTAGTGGAAAAAGAATAAGGAATAGTGATGATACCTTCCTTACTGAGCTCCTACCTAAGATTTCACACCAGGATTAGGCTATTCCAGAGGCCAGAAGACACACGGGGCTGACAGCTCTGATTCCTAACTGCTTGACAACCTTTGTTAGTTAAAACATTACACTCTAAGGGCAAACGAGGGGTAAACTGAGTACATTTCAGAGAACTAAAAAGCATTATGAAAATAAACATTAGATGTGGAGAAAGAGCCAGAAACATTACAAAATTTATGGAACAAAATTAGACTCATTCATTTACTGACCAGGACTATTTAATCATCCAAATAACCTATGTCTATGAACAATAACTTATGGAAAATAATGAATAAAAGGACATACAGATTCAATACAAGATAAAACCAAACTTCATCCCACCATTTGGCACAAACTCTTCAAATAGCACTATGCTCACACAGCTACTTCAGCGAAGTTACCACACCTGCATCCTACCAGCACAGTCTAACCTTACTTCTGCATCTTATAACAACTGCCCCGAAGTCTGACTTCTGGGACTCGACACACAGCCATGGGGAACAAGTGAGCCTCTTCCCTTAAAACACCTATTGCTCTGTTGATACTCCATAAAAAATGCAAGTAAAACTTAGGCTGATTCTCCCTCTTATAGCATTCGACACTGTCCCACACGACGTCCTCGTCTCTAAATTGGAGAGACATCAATTTGATGGATGGACCAGTGGGTGCATAAAGAACTGGCTGGATGGCCACACACAAGGAGTTGTGGTCAATGGCTCCATGTCCAGCTGGAGACCAGTAACGAGTGGTGTCCCTCAGGGATCGGTGTTGGGACCGGTCTTGTTCAGCATCTTTGTCACTGACATGGACAGTGGGATTGAGTGCGCCCTCAGCAAGTTTGCCCATGACACCAAGCTCTGTGGTTCGGTTGATACGCTGGAGGGAAGGAATGACTTCCAGAGGGACCTTGACACGCTTGTGAGGTGGGCTGATGCCAACCTTATGGAGTTTAACCATGCCAAGTGCAAGGTCCTACACCTGGGTCGGAGCAATCCCAGGCACAGCTACAGGTTGGGCAGAGAAGAGATTCAGAGCAGCCCAAGGAGAAGGACTTGGGGGTGTTGGTCAATGAGAAAATGAACATGAGCTGGCTTCAGTGTGCGCTCGCAGCCCAGAAAGCAACCGTATCCTGGGCTGCATCAGAAGGAGCGTGACCAGCAGGTCGAAGGAGGTGATCCTGCCCCTCTGCTCTGCTCTTGTGAGACCTCACCTGGAGCATTGTGTGCAGTTCTGGTGTCCTCAACATTAAAAGGATATGGAACTGTTGGAACAAGTCCAGAGGAGGCCACGAGGATGATCAGGGACTGGAGCACCTCCTGTATGAAGACAGGCTGAGAAAGTTGGGGCTGTTCAGCCTGGAGAAGAGAAGCTGCGTGGAGACCTCATAGCAGCCTTCCAGTATCTGAAGGGGGGCTATAGGGATGCTGGGGATGGACTCTTCATTAGAGACTGTAGTGATAGGACAAGGGGTAACGGGTTAAAACTGAAACAGGGGAAGTTTAGATTGGATCTAAGGAGGAAGTTCTTTCCTGTTAGGGTGGTGAGGCACTGGAATGGGTTGCCCAGGGAGGTTGTGAATGCTCCATCCCTGGCAGTGTTCGAGACCAGGCTGGACGAGGCCTTGGGTGATACGATTTAGCGTAAGGTGTCCCTGCCCACGGCAGGGGGGCTGGAACTAGATGATCTTAAGGTCCTTTCCAACCCTAACTATTCTATGATTCTATGGTTCTATAGTGCTGCTGGCCTCCTTCAGCCATCGGAGATGCCAGTGGGTTTCACATTTATTTATGACAACTAAAGGCTTTGCTGTGTAAGGAACACTTGTTTACTTTTTATCCAAGATACTGGAATTTAATTTTGCATACTGAAATACTGCCCAAGTCACTATTCTGACTAACGCAAAGTATCTGAAACATATTAAACCATCTTCATTTAAAACCATTTTCATTTATTATTAAAAGCTTTTGCCCAGAGGCTGTTATTCCTGGCAAGGACTCACTCTGGACCTGCAAATCTCTGTTAATAAGAGCTCCCTCCAAGATGACAGGCCCAGTAATAAAGAAAACCTGGGTGCCAACTGGACATAATGGAATTATACCCTTCCCAGAGTTAAGCTAACATCCCCGAGGTTGTAATGCTGTAAAATGAACCACACTAAAAGTGGAAGAAAGGAGTTCATAGTTCTGCATCAAGAAACAAGGAAAGATCTCCACCCATCCATTTTCATGTATGAGTCACTTGGTTTGGGACTGTATTAAGAAAAAAAAAAAAGTTAAAAAAGCAGTCTTTTCATGAGTCCCACCCCTGAAGCCTGCAGGCAGGCCCTGTGGACAAGGAGAGATCACAGTGAGCTGGAGCTACCATGCAGGGGAAAGGCATTACCACCCAGTTCACAGTGTCAGAGAAAGTGCTCTATCTGCCTGATGCTCCCTTGCCCCCACCTCTGCCCTCAAACACTCTTCAGAGACAATCTGTTTCATATAAAAGGTAGTGCGGAAGGATAAAAGGCAGAGATCTGGAGGTGCTGGTGACAGTGTTACTGAAAAACACCCAAAACCCCTAACCTCCAACCCCCACAAACACCCTGGAGCGTTATGGCTTGGAGGTAATGATGTGGAATGAGATGTATCTGTTCTTGGTTCACGCATTTCAGTGTTTGGTAGTGCCACTGTATGAGACAAAGACTTTGTGAGAGGGGTTCACAAGGACATAGGGCTACCACTGACTCCTGCACAGGAAGCAGTCTTCATGGGTCATAGTGGTAATGATACAAGTTCTGACTTGCAAATACTAGGTAATGACCAAGTACAAAGCAGAATTGCTGAACTGATGCAAGGACATTACCTGCTTTAAGGATTTTATTCAGCCATCACATTTTACAGGTCTTCCCTAGTCTCTATTACGGTATTAAGATCATACAATCACAGACTGGTGTGGGTTGCAAGGAACCCTAAAACTCATCCAGTCCCATCCCCATGCCATAGGTAGGGATGCCCTCCACTAGACCAGGTTGCTCCAAGCCTCACCTTTAAAAGCCAAAATAATTAAAAAGCATGGTGGGAAACAGTTAATTGAGTAAAGCTATGAAACAGCACCTACTGGTCATTCTTTTAAAAAGTAATAACAAAGATTTGGGCTATTTTGAGCTTTTAAGCAAAATTTCATTATTTAAAAATCAAGACTTTTTTTCACATCACTTCCATTTACTTTTTGCCAGAAGACAGGAAAGATCTGAATTACTATGTCAGTAACTCCAAATAATAAAAAAATAAATTGAGTTCTCGTATTCTCAGAGTCAGTAAACAGTTTCATCACTAATGTTGCCAATAGGTCAACATTTCTGAACGTCACATACCTCTGTTAACGTATATGCTTCCTCTGCTGTGCATTCAGATTTCACTGTGGGGTTACTTAGTGCAAATATTATGGGTCGCTCATTGATAGAGGCCATTGCTTTGATCACATCCTGAGAGAAGAGCCGCCCAGCTCCTGCAACTCCTGGAATAAATGGAAACACATAAAAATAGAATCAATACTTGTCTGCCTCAGGGCAGGTGACAGTGACTGTAGATTAAGTTCTTATCAACCCTGAAGTCTCCCACTCAGAGCAAAGCATCACAGGCTTTTCTAGCAGCAGGAGAAGGAAACCAGGCACTGCTCTGTTTCTGGCTACTTAAAATTCTCATTTTCACAGGAACATCTAATTAATGTGTTCCAAAAGCCTATTTTACATAATTTTTTTGTATTAATATGTGCAAAGAACACTTATCTCTGCCCTGTGGGAACTGCAGATTCTTCACAGATGACTCATCCTAGCTGGGTGTTAACTGTGCAATGCACATTCCCTTCATGCCGGTATTTCTCACCACACCCAAACACATAGGTGCAAACACATAAAAACAGTGTACATGTACACTGGCTATAGACTTCAGGGAAGCTACTCAGCTAAAGAACTGCAATTTTCCAAATAAATCACGTGCAAAGGAAATTGCAGAGTTGCATTAGGAAATACCTGTAATCCCACCTGACCTCTGCAGACAGCCACAGTTATAAATCAATACCTACATGTGTCAGTAATATAACAGGTATAGGTGACCTGCAGCATGAAACAAGCTCCTTCAAGACATGCTGCTGGCAGATTCTGGCCAGAGAAGCTAATGGGGGAGGGAAGGTCAGGAAAAATATAATTACTCAAGTTAGGAAACTCCTGCAAAGCAGAAAATGTGGTGTTTGTGACTGTTGTCCCCTTATTGCTGATGTAGGGGATGTGTCTGGGGAACAAAAGGTTGTATTTTTGCTTTCCTGACTCTTAGTGCCTTTCATTGCAATTTCAGTTCATTATGGCCATGCAGTCCCTGAGAACATGCTCAGTCTTCTAAGGAAGTCTAATACGAGCTGGACAAGGATGAGAAGAAGCAGTTAACACGGACACAAGATGCAGAAGCAGCACCACAGCTGAATAAAGGATGCACTGTGAGCTCACTGAACGCTATGAACTAACTGCGAGCTAACCTGCAGCTCATTGTATTTTCAAGCGGAAAACTGACCTCACATTTTCATCTTACGCCAGCAGAAATGCAGATCACTGTCACCAACCTCCTTGGAGCCACATCAGTGAATCAAATGCAGCAAATAACCGAATGACGGAGACACAGGATCAAAAATAACCTTACTTACCAATGATAGCTGAAGGCCGAAGTACATTCACTGCCTCCACAAATGTCTTTGGTATCTGCTCTGGAACCTGATGTGTAAATGGTTCTTGATTAGCATCAACCTTTTGTTCTCGGCCCTGTACATAAAAGGTTGATTATTTTTGTGAGGAAGACACAGAAAGCACCTGGCCATCTGTACTGTGGTATTTCAAGGCATGGTGCACCCTTACCTGAACCAGTAAACCATATTTGTCAAACATCCATATTCTCCTATAGGCTTCCTCAGCAGAAACACCACTTTCCATCATAGCCATAACAATGAGGTTTGCAATTCCCAGCGCAGCCTGAAGGATAAAAGGACTTGGATTTTTAACAATTCACAAAAAAGGTTTCTCATCACAAATCACAACCACCACCCAGTGCAAGATCTCCACAAAACTCATTTAATAAGCCAGTTCTGAAACACAAGTAATGTTTCCCTAGATGGGGGCAGACTACTGGCATCAACAGTGTCATGTTTTCAAGCACAGGAGAGAGGCCGCATTTCTGGGTGTTGTGCCCCCATGTCTGTACCAGTTCAGCAGCCACTACTAAAGCAGCCCAACCAGACAGTAACAATAATTTAGTGCTGCGAGCCCTCCTGTCAAGAAACCATAGCACAGTGTTTTGTGCCCAGCTGCTTTCCAATCCCATCTTTGCTCCTGCTGCCTGTGATAAAGGCCTTGCTGACAGAGGGCACAAAGTAGGTGCTGGCAATGCTTCCCTCCGCATCCCTTCTCTTGGCTCACTGCACATGCTGCTAAGTCTGGCAGGAGAAATAAGGTAGAGGGAAGTGCAGAGCAGGGCAACAACACAACACTGGCCAGTTACTGCAATCACGACCTTCTTGGGTTGGCTGGAGAAATTTTCAGCCAATTAAGTTATTTTGCCAGCACCATAGAAGCAATTTCACTGATGTACCAAGAAGCATGGTGCTGGTCCTGACATGGCTGCCCCAGTAAACTTGCTGCAAACAACTACTGATTTAACTTGCTAAGAAAACCACCATGTACATCTCTCCAATGCTACAAAAATTAACAAGATGCTCTTTCCCTCTCTCTTACTAACTATAATTTTATGGTACTTTCCCCTTCAACTACACACAAGTCATTGATGCTTTTTTCAAGCCCATGTAAGAAAGTGAAAAACTTGAGTCTTGTAAATGTTAAACACCTTTCAAATAGTCAACTTTCAGCAGGCAGTCCCTTCTGTTAACGTATTTCAGCTGACCTCACATAAAAAGTCCTGCAACGGAATTCGAGAATGTGAATCTCCACGAGTCCTACAGAACCAGAAAATAGACAGTTAAATCTCTTGTTGCTCTAGAGCCCTTAAGAGAACTCACCTCTCCTGCTCCAAGGAACAGCACTTTCTGCTCTGCAAGTGGTTTACCCATGGCTTTCTGTGCTGCCAGCAGTCCTGCCAAAGCCACTGAAGCTGTCCCTGTGAAAGCAGTACAAATCTAAGGTGAGCTGAACAGACTTCTGTGGCAGATTATGGCTTTAGGCAAAATTTCCGCATATACATTAAGGAACATAAAGGGTGTACCTTGAATATCGTCATTGAAGGTACAATATTTCTCTCTGTACTTTCTTAAAAAACGAAAAGCATTGTGGTTTCCAAAGTCTTCAAACTGGATAAGTGTGTTCTGGCCATACCTACAGAACGCAGCAAATATTCCTATCACCAGACACATCAAGAAGTACAATCCTTTTAAAACAAATCCTGCACATAATCTTTTATCTTTGGAAAGAGATTGTCCTCAGGCCTTTCACTGTTTGAAACAGCTCCATCTCTGTTCTATGTGTACTTAAGAGATAACTACAAGCAACATGTTCCAGGTCACTCAGATAAATCACTGCAGGGGCAGACATACAGCCATGCCTCTTGACTTCTAGTCCTATTCTTATTCCCTAAATGACTGTTTCAAGGACTGCGTCTTAGGGTTTTCTTCTGCCAGCACTTTTGGATATATTACATGCAAGAATATTCAGTGTCATACCTGTCTGTAATGGCTTCCATAAATTCATCAATTAGGTCGTCATAGACCTGAGAGCGATCCCTTTTTTGGTATAGTCCCATATAAAATGGGTCTTTTAAGAGTGTCTGAAAAAGAATAAATCAGACAGTAGCAGGATGAATCACTTCCTCAATATCCACTTATGAGAGTTCACAGTAACACATTTCACACCAAAGATATTGCATTTATATAGCCACTGTAACTGCCTCCAGTCCATATCAATGCTCAGTAACTTCAGCTGGCACTTGAGATTGGTGATGGCTGCTTTTAAAATGGAACAAATCAATACTGTGAACAATAAACTGCTTTAATAAATCTGATTCACATTTCCAGCTTCTTAAAGTCAGGTCAACCCGATCATCTGTTTTACAGTGTTGCAGCATTCAGATTACTTCCAAATGCAACATTTCACTGACAAATCAACTGGTATTTTTCAGTCACTTATATTTACAGCATAATGAATTCCAAATCATTTATCCTTACATAAAATATTTGGTTTTATCTTTAACAAAAGTGTTCAAATAAATATCTTCTCTTACAGGACTAAATACTCTTGAATACTTTTCATAGGGATAACTTAGGGCAGGCAAAGTGCAGTGAAACTCACTGTATTATCAGTTCCAACGTCGATGCACACAGGCAAGCATTTATCTGGATGTATTCCTGCACATGCTGTATACAAACACAGTTTTCCTACTGGAATTCCCATCCCATACACACCTAGATCTCCGAGACCTAATATTCTTTCTCCGTCAGTTACAACAACAGCCTGAAAACAAAAGGAGGTGAAATTACATATGATCACTGAAATTCATAAAGTTTAGAGCAATACCAGCAAAAATTCACGTATGTTTGCACAATCAAGAAATAGATTACAAGGAATATTTTACTTGAAGCAATAAAGCTTAATGTTAGAATCTGCTATGCTTTTTCTTTGCCAAAACCCACTGAGTGGGAAGAATCCAAGCTGCTGTATGGAACTGCAGCTTGTAACTTGGCTTTATTATTTCCATTTGTAAATAATCCAGACATCACAAGATTTCTGTAACTATTGTTCACTTCATCTCCTCATGGTTCTTGACTCAACTGGGCCATAGAGGACTTAATGGCAAAATGTGGGCCTCTAAACTACCACTTCTCTGTCCTAATCTGAGGACAACAGCACTTCTTCTACTGCTACGTAACACAGTAAAAAAGACCTAGAGGTGCATTCCCCAACCCCTCCCCAAAAGGTGGAATAAAGAAGTGAAATAAAACATTTGGCAAGTCTAGTTCTCATCATCACCATTTACTCAAACCACAAACCTCATATTTAGGATAAAACACTGTTCTTCAAGGTACACTTCATCTTCATTAGGTGCATTTTGCCATCATTGTCAAACAGCCAAGGATGTATTGTTCAGTGTTTACAATTCCATCAAAAGGTGACAAATCTTAAGAAACTTAACTAAGATTAAATAAAACCCAGGAAAAATATTAAACAGTGTCAGTACCTTAACGTCATTCTCTGGCCAGTTGTTCACAATTGACCTTATATGGCCTCTGTCTGAGATAGAAATAAATAATCCTCTGAAACAAAAAAAAACAAACCCAGAAATAATTTATCGGTAACAGTTAGAAATTTCACCTTGCTTTATAAAGCTCAATGTCAAACAGAAGAGATTGCTTAAAATCAAAAGCATAGTCAGACATATATCACTCAAAGGACAATTTCTAACATGGAAGTCTGTACTTTGACACTCTAAAATAAGAGCACAGAGAAAACAGTTTTCCTGATGCTACCTGGATTTTACACTACTACAGATAATCACCTTTAATACTCCTCGAGGGCAAAATACCTCTGGTGTTAGCATCAGACGGGACAGAATCTACACTCCCCTCTAAGGATATGAGAAGGGAACATGGTCCTAAGCCTGGCTTTTCCTTAGTGAATCTCCATCCATGATATTACAAAAGGTTAGGGGAGGGAAAAGAAAAGGACAACAAAGACAGGGACTGAGCATAGTCTTCTGCAAGACCAGAAGAACAGTGCTTCCCCCTGCTGACTCTTCATCGGGGGTAACATGGGAGCCGAGAAAAAGCAGCAGAAAGGAGAACAGGTGAAGGGAACTGTCTGTATTTCTTCTGCTCGAGCAAGCCCTCTGTTTTTAGGAGGAAAAGGGGCATGAAAGGCTGAGCAGAGGTGGCAACAAGATAAATCACCAACACTGGGAAAGTGCTAGTTCTCAGAAAGAAGGGGGGGAGATCCTGAATTCCAGACCATGCTGCTCCTTCTTAATACAGACAACTTCTTGATTGGCACAAGTTTTAAACTGGTTTATGATACACAGAGAGGTGTGGAAAAGGAAAGGAAGAAAGTAAGAACTAAAGGCGCATCTTTCATATCCCCTGCCCCAGATCAGGAGCAAACCCATGAGTTTCTTACTGTTTTTACCACAGCAGCTGCACTACATAGCCAAGTCCTCATGTCAGTAAAGGATTAGCCCTAAATCCAGCACTAAAGCCGGCAAGCTTTCTAGAGGACTCCAGAAATATACCTGGAATTGCAGTGAGAGTGCCATGGAAATGAGCTGATACGACTCCAGTCTGAACTGACTGCCTTAACACAGAGCTGAATAGCCTGAATAGTTGTTTTGAAGTCACTGCTGAACCCAACCTGATGCCAGCCAAGTGTATGTACTGTGCCAGAGTAACTGAAAGCTGACTCCTAGCAGCACAGCTTTAATACGGGGACTATCTGCATTCAACAGCCTATTGAGCTACCACAAGCCAAGTCTCTCACTTTCTGCTTTGCCAGCATCCTTCCAACTGCTTGCTGGCCTCTGCTCCTGCACCCAAGAAATCTGTGCTGCTCTGCAAGAACATCATGAGAGGTCTCCAGCACTGAGACACTTTGCCACCAGCAGAAACACAGAATTCCAGCCTGGTTTGGGTTGGAAGGGAGCTTAAAGCTCATCCAGTTCCAGCCCCTCCCAACAGGCAGGGACACCTTCCACTAGAGCAGCTTGCTCCAAGCCCTTGTGTCCAACCTGGCCTTGAACACTGCCAGGGATGGGGCAGCCACAGCTTCTCTGGGCACCCCGTGCCAGTGCCTCAGCACCCTCACAGGGAAGAGCTTCTGCCTCAGAGCTCATCTCAGTCTCCCCTCGGGCAGGTTAAAGCCATTCCCCTTGGCCTGTCCAGCCCTCTGAAGATTTTAGTGACAGCTTTGAGCTGCAATTAGCCTGAGATTCCTCCAGCAAAACTGCTGTATGGGTGTGCGTGCCCTTGTATTTCTGCCCCCATGCAGTGGTGCACAGGGGAATATCTCCAATTAATCTACTTGAAGTTACCCTTTCTGAACAGAGGGTGAGAGTGGATGACCTCCAGAAATCCCTTTAAGTCTGCATTTCCCTTCAAATGCTCTGTTCTGGTACAGCTCCTCAGACTCAGATGAGATTTTGAGAGCTGGAGAAAGCCACAACACTTTCCTTGGACTTAGGAGCTGTATGGCATTGCCACGTGCTCCCCCATTTAATACAATTAATTGGCAAGCTACCATTTTTGAAATGCCAAAAGCTTGGTATTGTCACAGTTGCTTCTGTAATAGTGCCACCAGATATCACCAACTGTTGCAACGACCCTTCTCCAGTGCATACACATCATACAGTCATGGCAAGCAAATACAGCCCACGCTGTGGCAGCATGCTCCCTCCTGCTTAAACCATAGCCACCAGTGGGAGTTGTGATGGCTGCGGCATCCAGCTTACTCTGGTGGTCAAGTACTGTCAGGAACACTGATCCAGACCTCTTGCTGGTACACAGCTATGACTACCAGTCAGTCATCTCACTCTATAAGCAGTGGGCAGCCCGGGGCCTGTGGAGCTCTCCTGCACAGCAGCAGGCTGTACTCCAGGATTTTCCCTTGAACAGGAATACCTCTCAATGTTACTCCCCGAGGTTGAGAGATTCCTTACCACAACAGATCCTCAGTAAGTGATTAACAGCATGCTAAACTTTGAAGTCTTAAGTAAGGGATATAAAGGATTGATTGCACACATACAATCCTGTGGACATAAACTGATGACCAGCTGTACCTAGACTCCTCTCTGAGGAGTTTAGAAAGTAAGGGGGTCCTTTCTGAATCTTATGACTCAACAGAAGGACCTCCCTGACAGTTCTCTCTGACCATGTCCTCTATACAGTAAATAATCTTTTCTGCATTGAATCTTGTTAAACCACTGTTTGCATTTATCATTGAACTTTGTCATATCAATAAAGTATATTGTTGTTTCTCTCTTAACGAGTGAAGTGCATGACTGCATCCACGGCAGGCATCTAGAAAAAGCTGGAAGGGAGTTGAAGCCCTGCAGTTGTCATATTTATGTGACACATTACCACTTCCATTTTCAAATGTACTTTTTCTGGTATAACCCAGGTCTTGAGACACTATTTAGCAAACATTTACTGCCTGAATTGGCACAAGTCCTGCATACCTGAATTCCAATGAAAATGAAATAAAACATTTCCACACCTTAGGCAACTACTGAGAAAAACTGGCATTAAAAGTAGCAGCAGTACATATATGTTGTTCTTACTTTGGTCTCCTGAAGATGTGGCCATACTGAGAGCAGGCGAGGCCCACTGTTGGAGTGTATACAATTGGCATTAACCGCTCGATATCATCTTGTAATACCCTATAGAATAATTTTTCATTTCTCTCTTGGATTCCCATTATATAGATATACCTGAAATTAAGCAAAGAGGAAAATAAAAGTCACTTATTGTTTCACACTTAAGCTTATTTAAAACAATGTGAAAAATGTCAAAGCAAAAAACAGGTTTGCTCTGTATTCTTTCTGCATAAAATCACTGCTTCCACTCAAGACTTTGAGTACTAAACACAAGCTAGAAAAGAGAGAGCAGCAGAACTGAAAAGCTGAAATAAGACCACTGGATATGACATACCATACATGTAAACATGCACTGTGATAAAAGACAACCCATGGATTCATTACAGGATGCAGCTGGGAATCTCATAACTGTTAAAAAATACCAGTGACAGAATTTTTCATCCAAAAAAGTAAGGTCCTGACAGTAAGGTCTTGTTAATCTTGATATTAACACAGTTGTAATACAGATTAACTCCTAACAAAAGTTCATTCTGAAGGACTTACCCAGGTGTGCCAACTAAAACTACATTTTTGCAAATTCACCTACCACATACTGATTCACATTTGGTCTTGCTGACCCAGCTACATAAAGATAATGAACTAGTGATTCATCTTAGGCTACAGCCACTTTGCCAATACAGATGACATAATATGTTTCAGAACAGCAAGCAACATGAACGTATTTGAAAATCATCTTTGGTTTTCATGAGAAACAAAGAGTTTTGTTGTGGTTCAGTAAGCCTCGAACCATGCCAGTTCCCCTCACACTGTTAGGAGACTGCTTATTTTTACATGCAGGTATACACAAACATATATAAAAACAGTAACAGGATGCTAGAACTGTGTTACTAAAAAAAAAACAACCCACATTTCTTCACCAAACTAGTGTGCTAAATAGAAAAATTATATAAAAAAAATATACATTTTGAGTTTCAAAATTCTGACCCTGTAACTCTTTTCTAGCAGTAACTAGATAAACACTGGTTTTCATTCCTAATTATCGAACCCTTGGTTTACCTTCTTTCTCACATATTTTTCTAGCATGTGCTAGCTGTGCCCTCCTCTCCCCCTCAACAGTTCTGTGCTCTAACAACCTGGCACCCAAACCTTACATGTTACAGTAACACAGTACGTATTACAGCAAGGTTTGCAGCTTTGTTACTGGCTAATTTGTGCACATTATTCTTCATTATTTTATGACTATGGAATACAAGAAAGAAGTTCTCAACCTCATTTAGCCACATGATCAATGCATGATCAATGAAAGCAGTTCTCTGTGCAAAAGTGAAAATAACCCCCACCAACTGAAAGACCCAGAAGAGGCACTGAAACCTTGTTTAGTTATCCCCATGCAATATTTTACAGCAATTTCCATTAATTTCATGACAAAACAAGGCCAGAGAGTGCTTACTTTTCCAAGGGATCAGTCATTTTTGCCAAATTCTTATGGAAGCGTAAGGCTTGAATGTCTTGTGTCTCTATTTTAGGAGGTAGAAGTCCTTGCAGCCCAAGCATTTGTCGTTCGTGTAATGTGAAGGCCATACCCTGAAAACAAGAGAGGTGAGAAGTAATTAGTGGTTCTTCTAGTAGCATTTCTAGTAGCATTTCTACTTACAATCTGCCACTTCTGACTATCCACTGCATTCTTTTGTCATGGCAGGAGCCACAGCAGGCATGGGTTGGATGTATTTGCTTGGGTTCTCCTCATCCTATGTGTGTATCCCTTCTGCCCACAGCTTTTGCACATCTCTGCGGCCTCATGCCCTTTGCCAGACTTCATTTTCCTCTGTGAAACTGGAGAACAACTAAAAGATCCTACTGCAGACAGACCAAGGTTTACAAATGAAATAACAGCTGCTTCTTTAATCTTTTCATTGGAACATAAGGTTGATCAAGAACATATGTGTCAGACCCAGCCTGGTCCCTGCAACTACAGTGACATTTAGTCCACAGAGGTTCAAATGCATTGCTCCATTTGCTTCAGTAATCCAGCCAGACCCCAGAGTTACTGAATTGCCCCAATGCTTCTATTGAGATCACAATTAAACCTGACTTCTTTACTTAGGGCTAGAACTAATTTATTGGTTTCCAGATGTAGTTTTCTACTACCAAAAAGCCTCATCTGTTAACAGATTAAATTTCAGAAGAGTTAAACTGCTCAAATAACACACCATTTCCATTCTTCACTGTTTCAAGGTGGATGAAGACTTTAATTTATTGTTATTTAAAGACTAATTAAAATGATTTAACAATAACATTCAATAAAACTGGCTTTTCACTCAGTACACAAAATAGAATGCTGTGAGCTACCTGCCAGTAGAGACTGGTAGGCACTTCACGGGCAGTTAACTCCTGGGTGTAACTTTGGAAGGCGTTAACTAATCCCAGTCCAGATTCACAGCCAACCTGTCTCAAAATGCTGACTCCGTTTTGCACAACAACTGACCCTGCTCTAAATTTGCCACTTCCAAACTGTAAACTTTCCTCATTTCAGTTCATCCAACTGGGTCAGTGCAGCAAATGACTAAATAAATATTTGCGAAGTGGGGAGCTGAAAAAGCACGAAAGCCTTTTGCTGCGCCAAGGCTGTGCACCCATCTGCGAGCAAAAGCAGAATCTGAAAGGGAGGAGTCTGGTAGCTGCACTGTTTTCAGAGAGATGGGAACAAGACACAGCAGTTCTGCTCCCAAACCACACTTCCTTTGTTTACTACAGCAGACAGATTAAAAACCAACAGCACATTCTCTCACATTTCCCCACATTGGAAGCAGATGCTCACTGCCAAGTTGAAAAGAAAGGTTTCTAAAAGCTCTCTAAAGTTTGTTTTATGCCTTGCAATTACACCTCAAATTTTTCCTGAAATCGGAGAAAAAAAAATCACATAAAGAATTCAGTATTTTCTCACTTTAGAATAAAAGACAAATTCCGATTAGAAAATATATATACTTGCACCTCTGTTTATATTTGAATAGACTTTCACAGGTATTTGTAGAAAGTGCCCATTAACAAAAAATCCCTAAATTAGCATCTACACTTGGTGTAATTCAGCACACTTGAATGGATTACAGCCAATATACCTACTCCTTAGGAAAAAACATTATTAAATATTTAATGGTTTTACATATTTTTTTCTCTTTATTTAAATAACATTTAATATCCATTGTTTTTGATTCAAGCGTGAATTAAGTGATTCAAGCACTCCACCTGCTTTCTTGTACTAATTCTATACTATGTTCAAAAGTAATATAATAGTTGAAGAGTTAGCAAGAAAAAAAAATAGAACAAAGTGTTTTGCAAAAAAACAATCACAAATACTTTCTTAGTAAAAAATACTTAATCCTAAAGTAGATCAATGCTTTGTATTTCTGATAAAATAATTTATATAATGTATATATAAAATACATATACATACACAACTGAATAATTATTCCATACAATAGATTTGACATTATATACTGGACTCAGTTTATCCTTTTTCTACTCTCTGCAAGTCATCTGCAAACCACTGGTTTCTGTCCTCATGTAATTGTTATTCTCAAGCATTCTTCCAGCATTGTCTGTAAATAAATTTCAGATGAAGCTTGCTCCTGAACTTTTTACCCTTGCTGCTGGTCTTTTGCTGGGTATAACAGTCACTTTAGCCACCTGATACTCTTTTTCTGGAAACTGAATCGAATAATCCATAATTTCCACTGAGAACACAACAATGCAAGCAGCACTGGCATGAGGAAAAAAAAATACAAGAGCACACTGAATGCTGTATTTTATATCCTATTTTGCAAAGGATTTACTTGGTTTCTCTTCTGCATATGGAAACATTAAATACTGAAACATTATCTGGGAACAAAAATGCATCTTCCACAGTTGCATGGAAGCGAACCATGCAAAAGTGTCCCAGCTATCCTCCCCTTTTCCTTAACTACCCCCTAATTTGTCACCTTGAGAAGTTCAGGGTGACAAAAAAAACAGCGTCTGAACACTTGCACTTGCAGTGCAAGTCATGTAGAATACAAAGCTGAGAACAGCTGGTAAACATCTGTAATACTGTTACTTTAGCCACTACAAAACCAAAAACGATGCCAAAAGCCTTACAATATTAAGAAGGGGAAAAAGAAAACAAGTTAAGTCTCTTTTCAGAAAATAGATAAACACTGGCCAGTAAAGCCACTAATGGCACTAGCATGTCGAAGGCCAGAATCCCTTCAGTGCTACTGTACTGGCCACACTGACATTTTACTCTAAACTAGCTGAAATATGTCACTAGCAAAACCTACGTCCTCCCCATCAGCAACTCTCAAGTCCCTTAGAAATAAAGCCTACCTAATTTCTAATTCCCCTTATTAGCATGACTCTGGGATATGGCTTTTCCTTAATTTCCCTGCACACTGACCTTAAACTGTCTAGGTCCTTAATATCAAATGAGCCCTGAGGTCAGCACTAAGCAGAACCCATCTTTATGTGGTTTATTCACATTGTTCCCAGCCTACAGGCAACCTGGATTATCAGTGTATCTGGCGTTAAAATAACATTAAACACAGTGAATTTTTAAGTGGTACTAAGTATTTCCAGCTTTATTTACAGGACAATTAGATTGTACCACATTAAAAGATGCTTGTAATTTCTGCCCAGGCCTAACTCAGGAATCTAAATGCCATCAGCCTCCACACAGAAATCTAATCTTCTTTCCAAATAAAACAGTGCAAGTTTGGTCCAGAGCAGCACTATAAAAACCCACAGCCCTTCCAACACTTGCTCTATTCCCATTCACTGTCTTCATCTGTAAACACCAGCCACCTCTTGTTTTGGATTTGGGATTGTGGTTTATTCCCTATACAGCACCTTGCAGGATCTTCCTTAAACTAGCATGCCCAGGAGCTGCAGAATTACACATTTCTTCATTTTGTGAAGGTCAGTACAGTTTGACAGCACCAGCAATCAGTTCCCAGTGAATCTGGAGGCACTCAGCAATTCACAGCAGTGGGACTGATGTTCTCAAAGGATCCCAGCACCTATTTAAGAGCCAAATCCTCGCTGGTTTCCACTGGGATTAAATGCTGAAATGCTGTAATGACGTGGGTTTAAGTCACAGGGATCACTTTTTTGTTTCCTTTGACCCACAGCGTCCATTCTCTGAGCGTTATGCACTGACTTTCACTTTGATTAGGCCCCTTAATCCTCTTTATAGCTCAGAAAAATCAGGTGTCCTTTCTAAGGCAGGACAGACAAAGGAAGGAACGCATCTCAGAGAAAACCCAGCACACTTCAAAGACCACAAATGAATAAATTAATGCACGTGGACAAATTAATTGCAAGAAAACTGATGTACTGCCATGAGGAAAAAAAAAATGAAGTGTTGACAGTTATTTAGTGAAGACAAGCTCACACAGGATCACCACTACTGTGCTTTTAATCCATTTTTGTGTGTCTGGCAGTAGGACCTTACTTTGGCCATAACAGCTGGGCTGTACTACACAAAGTGAGTGGTGCTATAAATACCAGCATATAAAAATCCTAGTTGCTTTGCATGAAGGTGAACAGGAGACCTGAATCCTGCAAGCATGATTTTTATAGCACCACTGAGTAAGTAATACTGAGAGATTTCTAGGCAGGGAAGTACTAGTGGTGATAATTTTTTCCTCACCTGCAAAGTCTTGCAGCCGTATATACACACACACATACATATATATATAAAGGAGGGGATACTTTTAACTGATACCATAAATGTCCCCAAGCATCTTGCAAACCAGTACAGTTTATAATAAAAACCTCATTCCAAACCCCTCATAAAAATGTAAATCAGAATATATCCAAACACTCTGTTTGGGAAATGAATTAGCCTACTTCACAGGGGAGATATAATCAAATGGTTTTCATGTAACTTCTAATCATTGTTATATTCAGCAGTATATCGTGGTCTTTGAAATAGCATCATAAACATTTTTAAAATAAAGCAGGTTTTACACTGGATTGTGGGCTGCTTCTCTTAACTCTACTTCCTTTTGATAAATCAAAGTTCACGACTGCACAACATGTCTCCACTGCAAATTAATGAAGTTCATGCATATAAATCAAAGGTGTATTTGCTATCTCAACCACAGATTCAAAGTTTCTCTGTGTTTATGAGAACAGTGACAGCATGCAAATCTCCTTTGATTTCTCCTTCTTCATCTTTTAAACTCAATTTTGTACCTTTATTCTTCCAGAGACTTGTAACACACATACTGGAGGGAGCAGCTGATAGAACACAGCAATCTAACTTCCTTCTGATCCATGAAATGACCCAGACATTCCCCAGGTTATGCAGGCTTTAAAACCCATCGTCTCACTGCAGGCAAAGATGCCACCACTTCTTGTACTACCTCTGTATGTGTGGAACCAAATGTAAGCCACTTTGGCTGCTGCCTGCAGTAGCTCTCATTTACTACTGACGTGGCTTCAACTAAAAGCATTCCCCCTGCAGAAAATGGGGAAAAATCAGAAACAGCCTTCACACTGGGAAGAAAGTCATACAGCCTCCCCAGGGTTTGCTTCCAAGCACCGACAGTTATGTTAAAGCTGTACCTTGCAAATCATGTGCATGATGACTGAAATGGTTCATCATATAGCATCCCTGAGCACCTCAGAGACATTTCATTAAGCTGCTGTTTTTCTAACTGAGCAGATGACACTGCTTTTGTTCCCCTTTAATGGCATTAATCCTACAACTAAAAAAACCCAAAGCCAAAAAAAACTAAAAGCAAAAACAGTTTCCTTCCTTCCTCCATCCACCAGCTCACAAGTCCTGAGCAGAACAGCTGATCTAAGTAAAACGAGGTGTAGTACAACCTACCACCTTTGGCACCTATAGCACCTTTTCAGACAGATGATAAAAGCTGGTTAAACAGGTCCATCTTTCCACATTTAATTCCCTCTAAAAGCATGCAGATCTCAAGGAAGCTGATAAAAGCAGTTTCTATCCATTTCCTGCCTTCTAGAATATTTCTTTGCAACCGATCAGAAACGGTATTATTTCAAGCACTGCATTTCCTAGCAACATGACAATTATCATCTGAAGTACTTCTCCACATCCTGCCTATCTCGCTTTCTCCAGGAAGGCAGATGGGCATTGTGTATTCCACACCCTGGCTGCTTGACCCAACCGACACAGTCTGAAAAGTATTAAAATAAAAAAAATCAAATGTGTCAAAAAACAGCATGGTGAGAAAGGGCAGTGGAAAGGACAATCTGCTTTTAGATCTTCAAGTTCATATTATATTTCTGCACATTCTCTTGTCCTATCTTATTTGTTTTGTCCAAGTAGCTTTAACTTTGGGTTGGGTTTCTTTATTTTGTTTTTTATTCCCAATTGGAAACACAGTTTGAATATTTACCTAAAGTCAGTGAGGTTACATACATTTTTCTTAAGGAAACTGATTCTTTATACAAAAGGAATCTGTCAAGAGTTTCTGGAAGTATTCATTAAGGCATACAGGAAAATAAATTGGGCTGAAAATGTGGGGGATGAACACAGATGAAACTGTGATTAGTAGTCTAGCTAAACACAACATATGAGAAGATGAGCACCCATATGGAAGACAGACACTGGGACAGTTCCTCATGAATCGGTCTGGGGTTAAACTGCCACTTGTGATATAGAATCATAGAATGGTTTGGGTTGGGAAGGACCTTAAGATCATCCAGTTCCAACCCCCTGCCATGGGCAGGAGCACTTCACACTAAACCATGCCACCAAAGGCTCTGTCCAACCTGGCCTTGAACACTGCCAGGGATGGAGCATTCACAACCTCCCTGGGCAACCCATTCCAGTGCCTCACCACCCTCACAGTAAAGAATTTCTTCCTTATATGGTTTCTTTTTAAAAAGACTTACCATGTAATCCCATGCATACGTGCCCAAGCATATGCATGCATACATAAAATATGTATGCATACATGCGTATTTAATGCAATGTCCTAAAGATGTTGGCTGCAGCTAAAAGTTTGAGAGGCACTGTCAGTACAGGAGAAAGATATTAAAGAATGAAATAACCACACAGTATTGAGAAACAGAGTGACAGAAAAGGGTAATGGAATCAACCGTACAAAACAGTCACACACTTAGAGAATAAGAACTGATGCCACGAGGTAGAAAAGTCACCAACACAGAAAGTGTCACAAATTATTAAGTGCCACAAATTTGCTGCAAGCACACAGAAAGCAAACATACAGATGGTATTACAGCTTATGTATTTCCAGTGAAGACAAAGACATAATGATGGCACTCTATATGGCAGAATGGACATTGCCAAGGTCAGGGATGATGTAGTCATGCATCATGTTTTGTGCTGGAAGAATAAATCCTGACCCTTGAATGAGAATCTGAAGCATTACCACAATATAAGTACCAATTTAATTGCCAGTACTAAACAAACGAGATTGTCCTAACAGTGTTCTAAGCATCCAACAGGCTTGTCACAGCAGGGGATCTTCAGCAGAATAAAAGGTCCTGAAGCCAATTAACTGTAACTTGAATCCCTGCCACAGAGCTGAAATCAAGCATCATGGAACCATAAAACACCAAACCAGCTCATGCAGCTGGTATATGCACAAGCAAAAGACAGGTAAGGATGGGAAAGAGAAGAATTAAAAACACAAATGATGAGAGAAAAAAAAGAAACTCCTATAGCACAGCCCAAGAGCAGATCAATTTGCACAAGGGGAAGGGTGGTTTTCTGTTACTGATGCTGCCATCTTGCAGTTCTTATTTTAGGGCCCACATAATAAAAGAAGACAAAATGTTCTGCAGAGCTGATGGGGACTGTAAAAGCTAAACATCAACAGCTAAAAATGATAATCTCAAAAAGCTGCCAGCAAGAGATAAAGCCCTTTATCTGTGCCTGTATATGTATGATACACATACATGCACATGAGGCACTGGGGACAAGAAAAGCACAAGGGGTAAAGTACTTTGCATATTTAGTCAATCATTTATTTCTACGCTGAATTTCCAAAACAGGTCTCTGTATAGATACTGCATCTTGTCTCAAGCAGGATCACTTAACTAGCTAACAGATCCATTCAAACAGGTGTCAGCCTTAAAGTCAGACTGACACAACAGAGCCAAACAAATATGACAAGTTTTTCACCTCTCACAAGTAACATTTCTTGGAGATATTCAGAAGTCAAGAAAACTAAACTGCTGTTAGTCAGCAGCTCTCTGATCTTCCCTGTTCCTCCTCAAAAAAACCCAAACCATAAATACTGCAATGTCCTCAGTCCACCAGAGAATTCCAGGCTCAAAAAAAAGTAATAAAAATTAAAGTAATATCACCACTATAAAAACAGTAAGAAATGACCTATTGTTCTTGTTTCTGAATACTGTTGCATAATCAGCCTTGGAAAAGCTTACAGGGCATGAAACGATTTCCACTGGCATGTCAAAGTGTTTATAGTTCAGAAAAGACTTGAGATAATCTGATCTTGACAAATCACACCAATCTGCTCTTTTCTCCTTCCCTGACACAGCAATCCCAATTTCACTTTTGCAGTCAGCCAGTCTCTAACCTCTACAGCTCACGCTCTCTATAGGCAACCGGCATTCACGCAGTATCTAAGCATGTCACACAAGAAACAGAAAGAAACATGACTGCCGGTCTACATCTTGTCCTCTTCTTTTCTCTTGAGGACACTTAGGAATCATGCTTGCCAAAAGGCACACTGGAGCAATTCTCCCTGTTGTTAAAGGCAGAACACAAGGAGATACAGCCTTCAGTTTCTAGCTTAATATCCTCCATGGGTATTTTGAGCCCACTGGCCAACATCTAATTCTGACAAAAAGAGAGGCAGGGACATGAGAGGGACAAAATACATTTGCCATGCAGGGGAAAGAGCCAGCCTAGCCCTTCTGCTGACAGAAAGGCTTGGGGTTATGTGGTTGGCTTGCCAGCTGGCCAGCTTATAGCAGCGCATCTTCTTTGCATGCAGGCAAACAGGGCATGGGATGGAGCTAAGAACACAAGGGGATAGGAGGAGTCAGGGCCATGGGCAGAAAAGGAAGGCAAGAAACTTAACAGTGAAGAGGAAATATAAAGTGTTAAAGGAAAGCGGAGGGGAATAAAAATCAGAGAATGGAGAAGGAGCAAAAAGGCAGACATTACTAACACAAGACAGAACTATGGAAGTCCAGCTTCCATAGCTCCATTGCTCAGGAAATACCTTGCCAGGGGAGGCTAGCTTTGTCACCTTTGTTGGCTATTTTCAACATCTTGGATGAGCTACCAAAAGCTCTCATCTCATTTCTTACTAGTTTTAGTTTGCACATTCCTGAAGATTCCTGAAGGCTACTGCTACTACAGGAAATAAAACAAAGAGATTAGGAATGGGTTTGGGGAAATATGAATTTTTTTGTGAAGGGTGAAAAAAAAAAAAAGTTACTTTCTTAGGAGAAGCTCCTCCCCATGCAGGGAATTAACGTCTCTACCTCCCAGCTCTATTCAAGGTTTATTTTTAGATGCTTTCAGTCCAACTCTCTGCACAGGGATGTTTCTTATTCATATGGCTCAGTCCCAAGTCACAGTGTTGCAGGAAAAAGCCAGGACTAGGACAAAGAGGGTAACACTTTCTATCACAAGCAAGACTGAATTCAGAATTAACTTTTGCAGACTATGAAATAAGACTCTTTAACTGCTAAAGCTTTACTTGAATTCAACCAGTCCCAAAACCTAAGCCAGTAATCAGCAAGAATCAGCAACTCTTCATTGGGCACAAGGAAGGAGCAGTACTGATTGCGTAAACCACAGCAAACAAGGGGAGGCACAGGCTGACAGAAGCAGAAGGTGTTATTGGAAGTCCTTGTACTGTAGGCATCCAGGTAGTAAACCTGAAATGATCGCTGACTCCTCTTTCTTCTGTACCCTTTTTTGGCTGCGTCCCAGTACACCTGCAGGAGGTGGTTTAACCCTGGACCAAGCTCCACTGGACAATTACCAAATGAAGATAAGGTATTTGATAACCATACAGTACCAACCTTGTTTGTTCTTGGGTTTAACATCAGTGGCTTGCCCTTCTCTTTCGTGTGCACGCTGCGACATGCCATCACACAGGGAGTGGTAGCAGCTCTCAGTCGGGAAAACATCTTTCCTCCTATACTGCACCTGGAAAAAGGGAAAGAAAACCATTCAGATGCAGAGGCAGCAGAACTAATATTCATATTTGTAGGCCATCTGTTGTAAAAGGAATAGGAACATGCTAGATAAAAGTCTTTGTTCTTAACATTGTGATAATAACACAAAATGGCCTTCCAGCAGCAAGGAAAAGAAAAAAAGGGAGTCTTTACAGCAACGAGAGCACATGAGTGAGTGGAGAGAATACACAGGGACACTGATGTGAGCTAGCATTATGCTGTGGGCTGCAATCAGGCAGCATTCAGTAAGTATTGTCTTATAGCACCATAAACCCAGAGCAAATTGCCATTAGCAAATATTAACCTTCTGTGGTGACCCATGAAACTGGCACCAGTATAAATACCAGGGAGGACAGAATGACTTGGGCTAGTACAGCAGGAAAACTTAAACTGAGTTTCTCCAACCATGAAGTCTTGTCGCCTGGATAGCAGAAAAGAAAGAAACTATGTCTGTTAGCATATGAAAACTAGATTAAATGTAGAATTAAAATGGTCAGAAATTCACTGAACTCTGGACTCCATGCTTAGATTTTTTTCAAATTCCAAACCTAAAACAAAAAGCTATTTTAAGAAGGACTATATCCTTTTCAATAAAGGATACGTTTGTCTAATAAAATAAATATCCCTTAAGCATCAGGCTTATAGACAGCAAGGCAGAAATCCAGATCAGCATGGCATGGGACCCCTGCATCCCATGCTCCACCATCCCCTGACCCAGCTACTTGTTTATGTCCAAGGCACAGGCTAGGACAGTAAAGCAGGTTATGAGACATTTTTAAGGACTGAAATGATGCGTGATTTGGATTTTTAATTTCTTCCAGATGGAAGCCAAAATTAGATTAAGGAACAAAACTTCATTATCTTAAATATAGCCTGAATACTTCAGAAGACCTCTCTATAATTAAATTTACACATAATCAGCTTTTAAGACAACAGGCTGATCTTACAAGTTACAGTCTGAGGATTTTCTTCAAAATCTTTCCAAGCAGTAAAAGAACATGAAAACATAGTATTTTTCATCAGTAGTTACTCCCGAGTTTCTCTTCTACCCATGATAAAGCAGCGCTGACATTCAGAAGGATCCCTTTCTCTCATCCTGTTTGCTTGTTTATGCCTTGCTGTTGGAAAAAAGTTCCACTCAAAACCCACATGTTCAGCTGTTTCATAGAAAAGAACATAAATTTACTTGGAGAGAGGAAGAATGGGAGCCTTCCAGCACTACAAACACATGTTGCTTTTAACATTGATTCCTCCCTAAACCAGCTAGTGGTGGGCTAAACACAGCTTATGTGCCAGAACTCAGGGCACCTAGAAACCAGCAACAGATCAGCAAAATTGATTTCATCCTGCAAAACAACCAGCCTTTAGGAATGGCAAATTCAGTCCTAACTCGTTTTAATCCCAATTGCTCATTGCTATCATTATACACTTGTGCGCCCATCTCCTCACACACGAGGCTAAAAACGATCTGTGGTGAGAGTCACAGCAAACCTCAGCCCACATCCCATCCATGTGGTATTTGGGTGACTTCAGTCTATCATGAGCAAACACCTTAAACAAGAAATTGAAAAGTAAGCCAAACACCCCACCTTATCTTACTCTAATTAAATCTAAATAACTTCATTGCAACTAATAAGCATTTAAGAAACAAGCAAGACTGTGGCCCAGATGTCTCCCAACTTGATCAATTAGCTCTCTAATCAACAAGAGAGAGAAAAAAAGACTTTTCAGGTGTGTGATTCAAATCTTAGAGATGTTACTTGCTTCTCTTCTGTGAGAAAGAAGACTTACTCCTCTCCTCTGAGGTGTACCTAAAATTATTCCCTTGGTGGAGGTATCTTAGATACATAAAGCAAGTGGGAGAATCAGGATTCATTTTCAACTCAGTTTAGATCCAAGAGATAAAATCCCAGTTAATTTATATCCAGCATAAAACCTGACTGGTTACTCACTCCTGAGCTCTCCTTCTCTTGCTCTTTTAATTGTTTATTTGTTTCACCTCCCATCTTGCCCTTCTCCTCTAACTCCTTTTGCTGCAGACTTTTAAACATGTTTTAGCAAGAACCTGCCTCCAAAACTCACCTTAACATGACTTACTCTGAAACCACAACAGAAATATCTTCCCCCATCCCTGGTCCACATTCCTCTGTAGAGATGCCAAGAGCTCTGTGCTTTGCCAGTGTGGCCACGGCCCTCCATGACTCACCACCTCCTCCCAGCTCTGCTGGCCACCAGCCTGGCAAGAACAAGCCACCCCTATGCCCACATGCTCCTTCTTCACAAGCCCTAATTCCTCCTCAAGAACACATGTACAGTAACCCTTAAGATTAAAAATCAGGTCTACATCCATATGTGCTGTCAATGGTTTACCACTGCTTAAAACAGAGCTCCCAGGCTGGCTCTGCTCACAGACAGTTTAAGCCAGATGGAGCACTGAGGTAGCCATAAAAACCAGCTCACACTAGAAGCTTGGGACAGAGCTTCTCACATGAAAGATGCCATCAGACAATAAAAATCCTTTAAATGCAGCATGGTCTGACTGTCAACAAACAAGCTGCCCTGGGCAGCACCACTTCTCTCCTGACCTCATGGGAAAAAAGAAGGGACACAAAGCCTCATGTCCAGTGGCTTTTATTGCCAGCCCTGTTTCTGGGAAGCACTTTTGGCAGGCAGCAAGCTGCAAGGACAGGTCTGGAAGAACAGTCCCCAAACTAATACCTGGTTTCAAGAAGATGAAAAAGTTGGGTCATGCTTCTTTGTTTTTAAACTGTTATGATGGTTTTGTAGAAGAGTGGCAAGGCTTGAGATGATGCTACTTTATCCATACGAAAAAGGAATATTGATTTTGATAGCAGAGCCTGATAGAAAAGGGGAAGGATGTCAACTGAAGGAAAGTGAGGGGGTTGCAATGATGTGAAAACCATCCACAGAGGACAGAGGTTGTGCAATGTCTGCAAAGAAAGCAGAGGAATTGAAAGGGGAATAAAAGCCAGCTAAATCATGTGTCAGCATAAGCAGAACAAGGACTTGTTTTCTTCTCTCAGTGGTATGGACTAGATGAGACCATAAGTGTACCACTAAACCTAATCCAATTCAATTGGTAATTTCTGACTTATTACTGTGTACATGCTGTGCTACAATTTAAGAGAATTAAATTCTTAAGTATAACAGATGACAGCTCTCTGCTGTGCCTTATCAGGAGGCATCTGGCCAGGTCAAACTAATTACCAATACTGCACAAGTGTCCTTATCTAGGAGCAAATGTTTTGCTGCTGCAATTATGGATTTGTAAAATTGCAAAAGCTACTTTTAAGGGAAAGGTTCGTAATACTTTTAAAAGGTGCAATTATGTTGCTCAGAGAGTCAGGAAGCTCAGCATCAATTAAAGCAAGGTTTGCTTCAGTTGCTGCGCAGGCTGCCTGTTACGTGGATTATACCTTAATGCAGATGAGTAGACAACAACTTGTGCCTAATGAGTCTGCAGTCATCCTTCAGTCTGAAGGATGGCTAAACATAAATAGGTTTCAAGTATTCCTGAAATCTTGCATAAATGAACAGTTCTGACCTTTCCTCCATGTACAAAAGTTACCAAGACTTGTGTGTTAACAGAAACTTGTTCTTGCTAATACTTGTTGGAATTGTTAGTTCAAGACCCTACAGACCCCAAAGTGTTTCCAATCTTTCTGGCCTCAGTCAGTTTTTGTTTTTAAGCACCACTGCTCTAGGGCCAACAAACATTTTCTCTTATACACCCGCAGCAGTCTATGCAGTGGGTCTGCTGTGGATGCATGACTGCAGTGTTCTCTCACTGTTACTCTTTTTAACAAACAGAAAAGACTTGCCTACCCAAGCATGACACAAACCAGGCACACACTACCTGGCTTCATCACTTCAGTAATGATAAAGCAGTCTAAAATTATTACATTACACAAGCATCAACAATAAACGTGCTTCCCAATGAGACTTTTACTTAAAGCAGCTTTTCCTGCACCCTTCTTTGTGGATCAAGGGGAAGGTGACACTGTTTCACAGCAGAAGCACATACATGTGAGGAGGAAGGAGCAGAGAGATGAGGCTGGGCCATGCAGTTCCTCACAGTAACTCTGCACCTCTGATTCCCTGAGCTCGTCAGACACCACAGGGGAAAGTTAGCAGAAAATGGTGGTAATAATGTTTTGTGTTCCTTCCAGCAAACATTTCTAATATACCGTGAGATCTGCAGATTAAAATGAATAATCATATGGGAAGATGTTACTAATAAAAGGTTTGGCAGCAATAAGTGGGTCCTTTTGGAAGCAGATCTTTAACATATTGAAACTTTTCTTCCTTCTTATTCTGAGGTAATCATTTCAATAAGGAGAAAAGTTAGATGTGAAGCATGTAAATAGAGCAAATAAGTTCACAACTTGAGGCTTGAAATATTCAGCAAATGAAGCACACTTAGGTGAATTCAAACGAGAATCATTTCAGAACACCTTTGCAAAAACAGCCTGTGCCCTCTGAATTACTTTATCTAGGGCTGAGTTGCTTGTTATTGGAGTCTTGGTTCATAAAAGCTCTTACCATACAACATCAGAGAGCTATTGCTTTTTTATACATTAATGGATCTGACCTAAACATTTTACTTAAGCACCAGAAAGTCCATTATCCTGTGCTGTGGAAACTGCAGCAGCAGTATTTTCAGCCTTCTCTGACAAGCAGATGACTTCACATTCTTGATTTTATCCCATTTGTCTAACTGGGGTGGCTACCTGTTGTAAACGCAGGTGCATCCCTGTAGGGCAAAGGCTTTATCCTGCAGAATCCTCTGAAAAACTGCAGAAATAAACAGAAAGGCGTTGTTGCTTTATTCTGGAGAACCAATATATCTCTGTATTAGAGCTCAACTCAGATCAAAAATACGTGTTTTTCTGGAGACAAGTTGAGAAAGAAACAAGAATGTTCTGAAAAACTGCTGCACAATTACAACAG